TGGATACACATTTGTTTTGTTTATCCATTCGTCAGCTGATAGACATTTAGGTTGCTTTGATTTTTTGGCTATGATGAATAATGCTCCTCTGAACATTTATGTATAGGTTTTGGGGTATTTACCAAGGAGTGGTATTGCTGGGTCATATGGTAACTCTGTTTAACTTTTTGGGGAATTGTCAAAATTTTCCCATACGTGCTGCATCATTTTGCAATTCCACCAGCAACAACACACAAGAATTCCAATTTCTCCTCATCCTTGCCAACACTTGTTATTTTCTGGAGTTCCCTCTATTTTTTTTTTTTTTTGCACCCACTCACTTATCTTTTTAATGATTCTATATTTTATCACATTGATTTACCATGGTTTATAGTTTGGGTCCTTAATTCATTGGGCATTTTGACTGTCTGCATTTTCCCTCTGCAATGATAAATATGGCTCTTTCTAAATCTTGGCAATAAAGATTCTTTTCTTTCAGATTATTTCCTGGAAGTATGTTCTTCCAATGTGGGGTTACTAGGGCAATGACTATGAAGAATATTATAGCACCTGTTGCTGCCAGCAACATACATTTCTCTATTCCCTCACAGTCCAGTTTAATTCAGTGAAAACTTACTAAGGCCCCCCTCTTCCTTGCCACTCGCTGCCTGTGGAGGTGGCAGCTGTCTTCTACTCAGCATCATGGCTGCCCTCAGACTTCTAGTGAAGCCCAAGATTGTTAAAAAGAGGATCAAGAAGTTCATCTGGCACCAGTCAGACCAATATGTCACAGTTAAGTGCAACCAGGGGTTAAGAGTCTGTCGGTTAAGTCTACCTTCAGGGGCGCCTGGGTGGCTCAGTCGTTAAGCGTCTGCCTTTAGCTTGGGTCATGGTCCCAGGGTCCTGGGATCGAGCCCCACATCGGGCTCCCTGCTCCGCAGGAAGCCTGCTTCTCCCTCTCCCACTCCCCCTGCTTGTGTTCCCTCTCTCACTGTGTCTCTCTTTGTCAAATAAATAAATAAAATCTTAAAAAAAAAAGAGTCTACCTTCAGCTCAGGTCCTGGGATTAAGCCCCAGATCGGGCTCCCTGCTCTTGGGGAGACTGTTTCTCCCTCTCCTCCCTGCTCGTGCTCTCTTGCTATCTCTGTCTCTCTCTCAAATAAATAAATAAATAAAATTTTTTAAAAAAATTAAGTGCAACTGGTGGAAATCCAGAGGCACTGACAATAGGGTGCACAGAAGATTCGAGGGCCAGATCTTGATGCCCAGCATTGAAATGGGAGCAACACCAAAACAAAGCACATGCTGCCCAGTGGCTTCTGGAAGTTCTTAGTCCACAAGGTCAAGGAGCTTGAAGTGCTGCTGATGTGCAACAAATCATGCTGTGCAGAATTGCTCACAATGTCTCCTCCAAGAACCGTAAAGCCATTGTGGAAAGAGCAGCCCGACTGGCCATCAGAGTCACCAATCCCAATGCCAGGCTGTGCAGCAAAGAAAATGAATAGATAGCTTTTGTGCCTGTTGTATTTATGTTAATAAAACCATAAAACTACCAAGAAAAAAAAAACTTACTGAGGACTTACTGAGTGCTAGTCATTATGCCAGGTCAGGGCTTTACAGATGTGGTCCTACCCCCAAGGCACTTCAAGTCCAGTAAGACACATAAGAAAATAGATAATTTCATAACATGTAAGTATGAAGAAAGAGGTATGCACAGGTTGCTGTGGAAGCACAGAGAAACAGTGGGAAATCAAGTGGTTAGTGGTTTCCAAATCTTTTCCAGATGAAGCTTACTTCCTGTCCTGTTTTTTAGCTGTTGTAGCTAATATGAGGCGGTAGAGTGTTTGCAAAGTTGGTTGTAATAATGTCTTCCCATCCTTCCATGCAGGCTCCATTGCCAGGTGACTTTGCCATTCCATCCATTAAGAGGTGAGTCTATTTTCCTTCCCATGAATCTGGGCTGGCCTGCTGATTTGCTTTGTCCATGACAATGAGAGAGAAGTGACACTGTGTGACTTCTGAGCCTAGGTCTTGAAAGGCTTTGTAGTTTCTGTTTATGCTGTCTTGGAATAGTAATAAGACCAGCAAGACTAGCAGGACTGCCCAGCTAACCCCAGCCCAAACTGCTGACCTACAGAATTATGAGCATTATTATTATGTTATTTTAAGCTACTAAGTTTTGTGTGATCTCTTATGTGGCAATAAATAACTTTTACATCTGCCAAACCTTTTATTTTCTTGCAGCTCATGCCAACTGGTACGACATTTCATAATGAAAGGCTAAGTATCATTAGTATACTTGAAGAACTATTTCTGTATCTCATCTTCTAGATTATTTATCTAAATATTAATTTAGTATCTGTGAGATCTTAAAGTGTTCAGTTTTGTTTTGATTCCAACTCTTTATTTCTTATCTTTGAGTCAATTCTCTTTCCAAGATAAAATATCTCACACTTTTAACAGTGAACTTTTTAAAAGGGGGATGGTAAGGGGAGGAAGGAAGAAAGAGAGAAACTTTGAAGAGCCAGGACATTGGATAATACTGGTCATTCACAGAATGAAGTAATAATGTACTCCTTGCCTGGGGTCCATGTTTTATTCAATTTTGTATCTCCAAGGTCTCTAATGGTATCTGTATTTGGCACATGGCTAGAGTTCAACAAGAATACATGAAGAGATAATCGAAACTACTTCCACACATTGTTTCATATTTGTATGTCTTGTTTCCTGAAAGTAGAGCCAGCTTCTGCTAGAGTTCTGGTCCAGTAGGCAGCACAGCCCTGGGTATATCAAGGAAGATCTCAAAGCCTTATGTAGTAGACATCTATGTTGGCAACTATTACCTGAACCCTTGCCACAGGAAAATGAAAGACAGCAATATTTCCTATGCTCTTGCTCTTCTTAGGTTTTTCTGCTTGTACCTTTCTCTTCCACCAAAAACTAAATAACTGTTGATCTCAACTCCAGTGATCTCAAAGATTCATGAAGACAAAAATAATCCTTACTCAAAAATGGGGTGTCTACATAGATCAATGGAACAGAATAGAGAACCCAGAAATGGACCCTCAACTCTATGGTCAACTAATCTTCAACAAAGCGGGAAAGAATGTCCAATGGAAAAAAGATAGTCTCTTCAACAAATGGTGTTGGGAAAATTGGACAGCCACATGCAGAATAATGAAATTGAACCATTTCCTTATACCACACACAAAAATAGACTCAAAATGGATGAAAGACCTAAAGGTGAGACAGGAATCTGTCAAAATCCTTGAGGAGAACACAGGCAACAAGAAGCCTGCTTCTCCCTCTCCCACTCCCCCTGCTTGTGTTCCCTCTCTCGCTGTGTCTCTGTCAAATAAATAAATAAAATCTTTAAAAAAAAAATCATTTGATATGAAGATTTTCTTCTCTTCATATTGATTAGAACAAACACATAGCGGAAGAAATCTGTAGCATTTTACTTGGGACAGTAGCTCCAGTCTGATGAATACATTGTCCAAAACTCATATTTAGTGCAAAGGCATGTCAATTCAGTATTCTTACCAGTACACAGAAGGGATTTTAAATACAGTACATGCATAAAGGAAATATTTTTATGTCCAAGGAGGTGGTTTCATAGTTTTCATTAGAGCCAATTTCCTTCTTAAAGGGAGATCCATATTTCTAATGTCCTCAAAGCAGACACTACACAGCATATCAAAGACATGGGGAACATTAAGATGTACAAGACACAAATCCTCTCAAGTGAGGTGAGTCACTCAAGTTTATTTATCTGCCATGTACCATGATGATAGAGGTTTCATATCTATTACCTCATTAGAAGGTGAGATAAGACACACGGAGAAATAATAATATACTTGGCATATACTGAGCACCCAATAATTACCTGTTTAATGAATGAATATAAGGAACATAAGAGATCTCAAAATAATCACCCTTGTTTCAGAGACCCAGAGATTGAGAGTCCCCCTTAGGTAGTGGTTTCCGACACCAAGAACCTCATTTCATGTTGGGTCGACCACTTCCGAGCTGTATAATGAATGGTCTGATCCTGGGCAGGTTAGGTAATCTGAATTTTGATTTCCTAATCTGCGAATTGGGTCAAGCGCCTCCCACTTCGTAGTATTGTTATGGGGGTTGGTGATAACGTATGTAAAGTTCCCCGCATAGAAGGCGCTCAAAACGGTAGCAACTATTACTATTAAGAAATTTTACTATTGGATTGATACGCTCTAGCCATTGATCTAGTGCTCTTTCTACAACCGGCTCCAGTTATGTGCATGCACTTCTGCAAACACACTTAAAGACTCCTACAGACTCAGAGACCAGTGCTTTTATCTGGTGGAAGACATTAGCAATTTCACTTTGATAGAGCGGAGTGTGGAGAGGCGTGAGGGATGTCTCCAGCGCCTTTTCAGGGCCCCTTATATACTGCAAAAAGCCTGTCACCGAGGCTCCCCACCGGCTTCTCGACGTCCAATCACGTTTCCTAAGCACCTACTGAGCGCAGCGCACGGCGCCAGGAGCTGCTGCGGGCCGGGCACGTTCCCTTTCTCTGGTCTTTTACGTCACGGTTTGAGGGAACTCAGCCCTCTTCCCTGAAGTACTGTTGAATTGGTTCGCAGGCAATAGCGGTACCCGCAAGGAAAGCTCCAAACCTCCACACTGCAGCGAAACCACAGACGCTCCCACCTACCGCGGCAGGGAGGAGCAAGGACCCCTGGGAAATTGACCTTTCGCCTCCACTCACTCTTTACTTCGGCTCACCAATTTTGACGCTAACGAATGAAGCGACGAGAAAACCTGGAAGGCGGGACTTAGTGTTGTCCGATCCACACTGATTGGACTGCGACGGCGTGAGGGGGTGGACCGCGTGAACAGGCTAGCGTCCCTCCCTCGGTGGGCGGGAAGAAGTGGAGGCTGCGCTTGCGCACTGGGAGGCAGCGGAAGTGGCCTGAGGCGGCTACGCGTGCGCGGTGGGCGGAGCGCGGCTCTTCTACCTCCTCTGCCAGCCTAAGTCTTCCCATCCTTGCCCAGCTGGTGTGGTGCTCGTGTTTCCGCACCTCTTCGCGGAGAGTCGCTGCCGAGTGGGCGCTCGGTGTTCGGGTCGTCATGGCTGGTTACGAATACGTGAGCCCGGAGCAGCTGGCTGGCTTTGATAAGTACAAGGTAGCGCGGGGGCCCGCGGACGCCCCTCTCCCTCCTCTTCCCGGCCTCTCCCAGGCGGCTGAGGGGCAGGCGCGGTTCGTGTCACCTTGTGCCGCGTGGCTCCGAGCGGGCTGGCGGGCGTTTCTCCGGGGGTCCTGTCGAGACCTGGAGCTTTGGGGTCAGGGTGCGTGGGGGCATCCTAGGCCAGCCGCCTTGACTTGGTACCCTCCCGGGGGATTGCCTTTTCCTTAGGAGACCGCTCGACGAGAGTGGAACCAGAGAATTCCCTGTGCTTCTTTACTTCATTATTATTATTTTTATTTTTAGCGGATGCAGTTCCCTTCGTGGTGTCTTAATTGTCTTCATTTTAATGAGGTCTCCACCCGTCTCTTGTATACAACTCAGATGGAGATGGTTTTTGGCAGATGAGGCCCGGGGAGGGGGAGTAACTACCGAGGCGGTGGTATTGATGCACTCCACTTCTACTCCCAATGAGGAGACTTCCTCAGCAGTAGCTTGGGGCGCTTGGGCTGCCCGATGAAGTAAATGTGCGCAGAACGAACTGTGTAGTAGAAAGAGAGCGAGCTTTGGCGTCCGTAGAAACCTGATACTAACTCTAATTACCTGGCGTTGGGCCAGGTAATAGTCCCTATGGTGCAAAATGATTATGGGAATTTGCGAAGGGCCTGACACGTAATGGGCCTCCAGTAAATGCTGGTTGTTAACTTTCCTCCAAATCTGGTTTTCCTCCACTGCTCCCTTATCAGTGAATGACTCCACTGTCCATCCAGTTTTCCGAGCCTGAAATCTGGGCTGTAACCTTTCATCCTTGCTATCTGTGTCGCTTTCACTCTTGAGTCCTCTACCTCACCCACCAGTCAGTGAATCACCAGGTCCTGTACCTTCTGTCATTTTTAGCCTAAGCTAGAAGAGTGGTTCCATTACCACTCTTCCCACATACACTTTAAGTAATCTTTTTATTTTAGAATACTTTAGATTTGCAGAAAAACCGTGAAGATAGTACAGTTCCCTATGTCTCATACCTGGTTTTCCCTATTATTAACATCTTACATTAGTATGTTACATTAGTCACGATTAATGAACCAATATTCACGCATTATTAACTGAGGTCCATACTTTACTCAGATTTCCTAAGTTTTCACCTAATGCCCTTTTTCTGTTCTGGGATTTCATCCGGGATATCACATTTCATTTAGTCATCCTGTCTCCTTAGGCTCCTCTTGGCTGTGGCCATTTATCAGGCTTCCCTTCTTTTTGATAGCCTTGATAGTTTTGAGGAGTTCTGGTTATGTATTTTGTAGAATGCCTGTCAGTTGGGATTTGTCTAATGTTTTTCTCATGATGAGGCAAGGGTTATGGGTTTTTGGGAGGAAGAGCACAGAGATGAAGTTGCACCTCTCATTGCATCATATGAAGAGTACGTGTTATCAATATAACTTGTCACTGCTGATACTGACTTTGATCACCTGGCCGAGGTAGTGTTTGTTAGGTTTCTCCCTGTAAAGTTACTCTCTTTGGAAGGAAGTCACTATGAGCCCTCCCTTGGTAGTGGAGAGTTATGTCTTACCTCCCTGAGGGCAGAGTATTGGCATAATTTGTTTGGAATTGTGCATGGGAGTTTATTTATTTGACAGAGACAGAGACAGTGAGAGCAGGAACACAAGCAGGGGGAGTGGGAGAGGGAGAAGCAGGCTTCCTGCTGAGCCGGAAGCCCGATGCGGGACTCGATCCCAGGACCCTGGGATCATGACCTGAGCCGAAGGCAGTCGCTTAACCAACTGAGCCACCCAGGCGCCCTCCAGTCATTTGTTTATATCAGTGTGGATGCATGAATATTTATTTTATACTTTGGGTTATAATCAAGTACTACTTTATTTTGCTCGACCACATTTACTCTTGCCCTTATAGTCTTTTCTCTATGTTAAATAGTGATCTTTAAAAAAATGTGCATTACTCCTTTGCTTAAAACCCACCACTGTCGGGCGCCTGGGTGGCTCAGTCGTTAAGCATCTACCTTCGGCTCAGATCATGATCCCAGGGTCCTGGGATCAAGTCCCACATTGGGCTCCCTGCTCGGCAGGAAGCCTGCTTCTCCCTCTCCCACTCCCCCTGCTTGTGTTCCCTCTCTCACTGTGTCTCTCTCTGTCAGAAAATAAATAAAATCTTAAAAAAAAACAAAACAAAACACAAAAAACACACCAATGTCTTCCCATTGCTCTTGGAATGAAGTCCAAAAAAATCCATAACATGATCTGCACGGTGCTGAATGATATGGTCCTTGCCTGTCTTCAGCTTCACATCATGCTCCTCACTGTCTGCCCCTGCCAGTATTAGTAGCCATCTCATCCCCATCCCCCCTTTTCTTCTTAGATCTTTAAGTAATGTTGTTCCATCTGCCAGGATTGTAGCTTCCTTTCCTGTTTATATTCATCTTCATGTCTTCACTTATATGTTACTTCCTCACAGAAGCATCCCCTAAGTTCTCCTCTCCCCTTAAGCGTGCTGTCAGAGTACCCTCTGCTCCTTTATGGAATTTGTTAGTGTGTCTCCCTATTACAATGTAATACTCAAGTGGTTAGACTTGGCTTATGGATCACCATGGCCTTAGCACAATACTACTGTGCATACTAGGAACTCAATAGACATATGTAGAATGAATGAATAGCTGAAAAAAATCATAATGGATTTTGCCTAACTGGAATTGGAAAAACTATGAAGGACCTTGCTTACAAGCAGGTCATATAGGACATTCCTCTACTTTCAAGCAATATGGTGTCATACAATTTTGACCTGAGGTGCTGACATACATTAAAATTTAAGTGGAAAGAAGTTCCAGAGCCTTCTTGGTAACCTTGGCCAGGGCTTCACAACTTCATTAATGAAGGTTATTAACCCAGATACCTCATGTTTTGCCTTCAGCTCTACCCTCTTCCTGTTATCTCTTCTGCACAGTAAATATTGACATAAAAACTTTTTTTCCATACTAGGATCTGGCTTTCTGGGTGTAAGTGCCAATAGAATAGCTGTTTCATTTGCAGCAGTGTCTGTAATATGAAATCTACTTTTTCTTATAAAGCAGTGTTCCCTAAGTTTATATTTCCAACTAGATAGGTGTCCTAATTTACAGGAAATTTTAGTGTGCTTTTCTATTCCTATGTTTTCCCGTTTTCCGTTATCTGACTCACTTCCTGTGTCTGGCAGCGTATCTCCTATCATCCTGGAAAACAAAGGTCAGTTTAGCAAACATCCAGTGTTCACTAAAATGTAGTTTGTTGATTTTATTTTAAAAAAGGAGGGCCACAAATTATAACATAAACTTCTTCTAGTAGAGGGTTCTTAGTATTGTGTTCAGATTAAAAATATGAATCCAAAGGTGCCCAAAGGACAAATCTGTGTGGTCAGTTTTCCTGGAATATGAATTGCACCTAGAGACACTTTCCTCCTAAAGATCACATGTTCCCATTGTGTGATCTTCAACAGGAAGTGCTTTATAAATGCTTATTGAATTAAAACAGCTTTTGAAGCAGATCATCCCATAAATGGGTAGACTCAAAACAGTCAAGAGATTTTTATTCCCTGGTGTGGCCCTGTGTATTAGAGCAAAGTGATGTGAGAAAATTTGATACTATAAAAGCTGCTGGTGGAAAAATTACTTTTGAATTAGTTTAATTTCTTTGTCTCCCTAGAGGTACATCTGAGAGCTACAGTTGGAAACCTGGCAGTTATTCAGAATAACCACCGAGAGGGGTGCACATGTGGGTGGTAATTAGATTTCTGTAGTAAGAAACTAAGACGATTGCTTCTCAGTGTAGAAGAAAGCATGGGATGGATTGTATGTTATGTGCTGTCTTAACATTTGTGTTCTCCGTTTGTTACCACAATTTTTTTAAGCAGATGAATAATTAGTTGAGAGTCTGCCTTCTCTGTTAGGATATGAGCTCTGAGAGGGTAGGGCCTGTAGCTGTCTTGTTCAACATGATCAGGGTCTAGCACATGAACACAATAGATGCTCAACAAATATTTATTCGAGGAATGAAAGTGTAAAAGAACATAAATCATTTTGGAAGTGTGGTAAAAGGGAGCTGTGCATCTCCTGGATATCGGAAGAATACTTTTGTATTTTGAATGGGAAGATGTCAGGGGTTTAACTACCATTTTCTCTGTTGCTTATTTATGTACCTTCAGACAGTTATATTGAGGGATTTTACCTTTGAGAGGCTTCTCATTCCTCCTTTCTGCCTGACCTTTCTTTGGACAAGTCTTTACAGTTGAAGGATTTCCCGTTATCTAAGGGTGAAACTTCTGTTGTGGTTTACCTAATCTGACCTAGGGAAGGCATTGTTTAATTGATAGTGTAACAGCTAGTTTCAAATTGTATTATTTTTCTTCAGAGAGGAGGTAAGTGTTCTTTGAAATATCTTGCTTGGTTTCAAGAATATAATTCTATGATGAATTGGTTTCTGCTATTATTCTTTTGTTGCATATCAACAACAACCTGATTATAGGAACTGTGATAATGGTAAATTTATTAGTATTGCAGTTAACAGGTTGTAAAGAGAGACTGTGTGCATCTTGATGATAATGCTAAAGAATCTGGCCTTCACCCTTACTAGTTCACACAGTTTGATTCTGTTTATTCAGTAAGCATTTATTGAGGGCCTACTGTGTCAGGCATAGCACTGGGGCTGCAAAATGCAGTTAGGTAAGTGCCGGGTGCTATGGGAGAGAAAGAAGCAGCTCCAGGGAGAGAGGGTTAAAGCTGAGAAAGGCAGCAGAGAAGGGATGGAGGGGAAAGGCAGAGCTCAGTCTAGAAAGATGAAGCTGAGTAGGTCCCACATTACCAGATGTAGAGGGAGAAAAGGCTTTACAGAGCAGAAGAGCAATGGAATGCAAAAGGAGTGGAGGCCGAGAGTATTTTCTGGCAACCATAAGAAGGTAGATGTTTAGGCATAATGATGGAGGGGCAGGAGATGAGGCTGAAGAGGAATGTGGGGCTCTGTCAAGAGGGAATACTTTCATGGAAAGGACTTCTAGATTTTACCCTGTAGATCAGTGTTTCTGTGGCCCAAGGACTATCAGCATCAGAATCACCTGGGAAAGTGTTTAAATAGGAGATTCCTAGCCTCACTTTGGGAGATTCAGATTGGGTAGATTACTGTTATCTGCATGTTAAATACCTCAGGTGATTTTTAGGCACATTGTAATGCTGTAGGTTTGGGGGAACTGCTTGATTTTTTTTTTTTTTAAGATTTTATTTATTTATTTATTCCTTTGAGAGAGCGAGAATGAGAGAGAGAGCGTGCGTACATGAGGGGGGAGGGTCAGAGGGAGAAGCAGGCTCCCTGCTCAGCAGGGAGCCCGATGTGGGACTCGATCCCTGGACTTCAGGATCATAATCTGAGCCGAAGGCAGTTGCTCAACCGACTGAGCCACCCAGGCGCCCCGGAACTGCTTGATTTTAAACAGGATCAGATTTTAATTTTAGGAAGCTTACCCCAGCAGCTTGTAGAAAATGAATGGGTGAGGTGATCTGGAGACCTTTTGGGATCTTCTGGATAAACCTAGGTAAGAAATGAGGGGAAGCCTGAATCTAAGTAATAGGGATAGAAAGGGAGTGGGGATTCTAAAGATAGAAGTCAGAACTGGTTAACCTACCCACTGAATTTGGCCAGCAGATATGTTTAATTATAGCCCACACCATACTTTGTTTCAAAAATTAGCATCTTCCCCATAAAAACCCAGATTTCTCGATTCGTTTGAAAAACCAGAATAGTGGGCAACATTGGCCCTGAATTTCCTCTTGGCAAGACTCCCCCGAAGCTAAGTAGTGCTTGCCCTTTTTAAAAAAGGTAGTTGCTCTCCAGTTTGCCATTTTCCCGCCAGTCCATATGCTTCATGTGGGTCTGCTTTGTTCAGTTTATCTTCCTGACCCCTGTGGACGTTTGTTTATGATCCTTGATTTAAGATTAAAAATGGACAAGACCATGGTAACGGAGAAGCTGGAGGTGTTGGTGGGGTGAGTCCAGGGGATGAAGGATGGGGAGGAGTCTGGGATGACTCAGGTTCTGGTAAGATGACTGAGTGGAGAAAGGCGGTAGTCACTGAGGTAGGGGTTTTGTGAAGCATTAACCCTGGGAAGGTAACCCTTGGTAACAATAGTACCTAACACTTGTTTGGTCTGACTTAACCCTCTTGATAGCCCCAAGAGGAGGTATTATGAACTCCTATCTGATGAGTAAACAAACTCATGAGAGATTGACCCTTATAGAACAAGCATAATTGTAATTTAAACGATAAGTGATGCTGAATCTGGAAGAATAACAGTAATCTTTTGCGCAAGGCACTTCTCTTGGGCAGGGCCATGTGAAGGTGTAGTTTGTGGACTGGGAATCAAAACAAAGAAAACTTCATGCGCTAAAGAAATATCGCTGGTGGATGAATTATGCTCCACTAAAGGAATATTTCTGTAATGATTTCAGAGATAGAACACTTTTCTTCTGAGCCAGAGTAGACACATGAGAAATTCTTAATCTTTTGATTTGCACTTATGATTGCAGGCCAGCTACAGTATACCATGTTAATTAAGGCATTACCTAGATATGTTACAGTTAATTCAGACATAACTTATTTTTAGTTGTGCTTGGTCTCCTTGAGTAGATTGGAAGAGCTGCCTTTCCCACCTGTAAATACATTCGTAAGTCTTTTTTTTTTTTTTTTTTTTTTTGAGAGAGAGAATGAGATAGAGAGAGCATGAGAGGGGGGAGGGTCAGAGGGAGAAGCAGACTCCCTGCTGAGCAGGGAGCCCGATGCGGAACTCGATCCCAGGACTCCAGGATCATGACCTGAGCTGAAGGCAGTCGCTTAACCAACTGAGCCACCCAGGCGCCCCCATTTGTAAGTCTTGAAAAGCATTTTAGTGGCCTTATTATTTATTTGTTTATTTTAAGGTTTTATTTTTAAGTAATCTCTACACCCAACATGGGACTCAAACTCACAACCCCGAGATCAGGAGTCACATGCTCTACCGACTGAGCCAGCCAGACGCCCCTTTTTTATTATTATTTTTTAAGGTATTTTTAAGTAATCTCCTTAGTGGCCGTAGATATAGATTTATAAATATCTCATGGAAAGAATTATTTTTGCAGTTGACAGAGACAGAGGAGTCTTTCAGAAGGAGTGAAATAAGGATGGATGGGGAACTTCTGCAGAATGAGAGGGAGAGAGATCAAGTGGTAGGTAGAAGGTCACCACATTTTTAGGTGCTATTTGGAAGAAACATCCTGACTTGGTTCTTTTACTATTTTCTGAAACATCAGTTCACTGAGGATGGCTTGTTTTTCTAACTCCTGTAATGCTTAAATGTGAAGAACTTTGAATAAGAATTTGCCCAGCGCATAAGGGAAAGTTGGAGAAGATGTTCCGGAGAGACTGATGGGGGAACCGAAGCACAGAGACCAGGAAGACCATGGTAAATTAGACATAAGGAAGTGGTGGGTATTCCCAGTACCAGGCTGAGCCTAGTGAGCCCAGTGAAGGAAAGTTGAAATGGCAAGAGCAATATCATTGTAAATACTGAGTGATAATAATAATGATAATGATAGCAAACATTTATATGGCATTTACTATATGCCCGGCATTGCTTTAAGTGCTTTTACGTATTTTATCTCATTTAATATTCACAAATGCCTTGTGAAGTAGAGCTACTTTATCTCATTTAATATTCACAAGTGCCTTGTGAAGTAGAGCTACTCTGTAGGCACAGAGAATTTAACTTGCTCAAGGTCCCAAAGTTTGAGATTTGAACCCAGGCAGTCTGGGTTAGGAGCCCATTTTCTTCATGCTATGCTTCCTTTCAAATCTAAGAACTAAAGATAAATTCTGCCTTGTAGTTACTGGGTGTTTTGTACCAGATAGAGGAACATTAGAATAAAGACCTTCAGTGACATGCTTAATTGGGTTTGTGTCTAATGTTTGCAGGCGGGGAAACTGTACAGTGAAAAAGAAAGAACTATTTTTGTTTTCTTTTCCCCCATTTAAAAATTATTAGCAGGGGCAAGTGGATGACTATATTTACTAGTCTTACATTTTGTTGAGTATTAAGAACATTTCGTATACTAGTAGCTTTAATTGAGATAAAAGTCTTTTGATTAAATAATTAGCTTTGGGACTAATAATAAGTTTGAAATAAACCACATGCTAGCGTTCTGACTTAGTGTCATTTTTAACCGGATTTCCTCATCTGTGAAATGGTGTAGTATCTGCCTCATAGGATCATTATCAAAATTGAATGAGTTTATATTTGTAAAGTGCCCGGCACATAGTGCTGTATTAGTGTTAAGTAAAAAATAAAACTTGACATCTGTGCCTCTCTGTTTGTGAACATTGGCTAACATATACACATGTGTACCCATACCCCAGGAAGTTATACCAAGAGAAAGTGTATTTTAGGAAAGCAAGTTAAGGGTGACAACTTAATGGAGAGATAGAAGAGTAATGGAGGTCTGTGTCTAGCTTGGGTCCCACAGAGACTTTGACTTCAGATTTCTTTTGTTAAATCATATATAATAATACAACAAGCAGAGTAAATAAATTTTCTTAAATACCACTTTCCTATTTAAGAATCTGCAGTATCCTCCGTGTATTTATCATGTGTTTGATACCCAGATTTCCCTGCAAGGATTTCAGGTTTCTTCACTCAATGACCCCTCTTTTTGTCTTCTCATCTCTTGTTAGAATTTATTATAGGTTATTTAAGTTTAGCAAGCAAACTTGTTTGTCATCATGAATTGCTTGTTTTTACTGCTCTTGCTTCTCCAATCTTGTGTCACCATCTTCTCTCCAACTTGTTAGTAGATGTAAGTGATAATATTGACTGAAATGAGATCTCACTGTCTACAGAGTCGTGTTTTCTGTGAGCGTAGTTCTTAAAGTCTTGTATTGATAGAAAGTATTTTAAGAAATTTTAAATTTTTGTCCCAGGGTTATTTGAACCCCCCCCTTTTTTTGCACTGTTAAGTTTAGGTTTGGTGTTTTTATGCCATAGATTATTTGTAGCATAATGCCTTGCATTTAGTAAATTTAGTGAGTACTTGTCAGATTTTATTATATCTTGTCTCTTGCTTACAATGCAGTATTTGAAGTTACCATAAGGAGGAATAGGTGTTGGCCACTAAACTAATGGTGTGGTTTATCCTTCAGCCGAGGAGTTGGTGGGAGTGCTCTTAATGTTTGCTTTCACCAGAGCCGTGGTCCTCAAACCTGAGTGTGCTGCACAATTACCAGGAGGGTCTGTTAAAAGAGACTGCTGGGCTGCACCCCTAGAGTGTCTGATTCTGTTTGTCTGGGGCAGGGTCCAAGAATATGGGTTCAGTTTGGTGACTACAGTTTGCAAACCACCTCATCAAAGAAATATTCAATTATATTGCAATCTGAAGAGCAGTTAATAAAAACCAAGAGATGGATATAAAGGAGTAAGAAACTATATTACTGTAATGTATTAGCTCTCAAGCATTGGGTAGTCTTGATTTTGTGGGTAGGAGCCCTAAGATATCTCTTAGTAGAAAAGAGGATGTAGTGCTTTCAGTTATGCACTAGTTTCTTATTGCTGGGTAACAAATTATCACAGACTTGGTGGCATAAAACAACACACATTTATAATCTCACAGTTTTTATGAGTTAGGAGTTAGCCAGCTCCTCTCTCTGTTCAGGGTCTTACCAGGCTGCAGTTAAGGTGTCAGCTGGGCTGCGTTCTCATCTGCAGCTTGGGGTCCTCATCCAGGCTTGTGTGGTTGTTGGCAGCATGCGGTTCTTCTCAGTTGTAGGGCTGAGGCTCTTAGCTTCTAGGGCTTTCCCACTTTTCCCTGCCACATGGCCCTCACCATAGGCAGTTCACATCATTGTTGCTTGCTTCTTAAAGGTCAGCAGGAGACTCCTCCAAATTGCTAAGATGAAGACTTCTATAATGAAATGTATCATGGAAGTGATATCTCATCACCTTTGTCATGTAAAGTATCCTAATCAAGGCAGTGACCTCTCTCACCTTTGCTATTTTCTGTTGGTTAGAAACTAGTCACAGGGTCCACCGTCAAGGGAGTGGAATGAACTATCAAAGGGAGGGGATTGCTTATACAGGGGCTTGACTCACTGGGGATTACTTCAGGATGTGTCTGCCATAAACTGGAAGACAAAAAGTGTATTTTAGAGGATATTTTGAGAATAATGATTTCAGTAAATTGGATCTAGATAGATCATGATCGTATTTAAGCCAAGAAAGGATAGTCTGGTTTCAGACAACGTGATCAATTTCATAGATGTGTTCCAGGATGAATCAGAAAGGACTTACAGTTCAGACCTTTCTGTTTATTAGCCGTTATAATCCTTGAATTTTATAGTCTCTTCATGTGTAATATAGGTAGGAATAATCTATCTTACAATACCAAACAAGAGAATAGCTGTAATTGTCCTGTGGAAACTGTAAAACATTATACAAATGTAAACATGATATTATTAAATAGGGGAAGAGTAAGAAGAATTTCCTCTTGTGAAGTTAAAAGTTGGTTTGGACTACTTCCTAGGGGAAAATAGATTTGGTGAAGGGAGTAACATTTCTTCTCATCACTGATACCTTAACTCTGTACTGCTACTTAAATAAACATGCAAAGTACTTCATGCATTTATTCATTCATATGTGCAAACATTCAAATATGTTTATTGAGCTCAGGCTACTGTGTGCCAGAAACAGAAAAGATCAGGTTGGGAAGTTTTCTCCATTCTCGTAATTTTAAGTTTCTTTATATCCCAGTGCTCAGTGAGTCCCACACTTGTATGTGAAAGGCTGCTCTTTTGATTGCCTTGGTATTTGTTGAGTAAATAACAATTTTTTAAATAATTGAGATCCCTCGTTTTATGTTTTGTGCTTAAGTGACTAGCCTGGAAGATTGGAATGCCATTGCTAAAGAACTCTGCTCCAGGAGCGGCTGGTGGGGTACATTTTGGCAACAATGGATTCTACCCCTGGAAAGACTTAAGGCACCTAAACATAATTGAGCCATGAGTCCTGTCAGCAAGGACCTCTGACCTCAGTCTCGTACCCCAGTGCTGCATCGGACACTGAGCTTCATTGTTGCAGGGGGAGAAAAGAGAGAGTTGACTCTTTTCTTTCTTTCTCTTGTTTTAAGACAGGTTGGTAATGTGTGTTTTTCATTTTAGTCATGTCTGAAAAGTTGGTTTGAGCAACAAATATTATAATTTCGCATAACCCAGTTGTGAACTAAAATTGGCTCTTTATGGATATCTTACTTTTTACTCCTAAAAACATGGATAATTTTGAACTCAAGAATTTTGGAAATAACTTAAAAAAGTTAAAAATATCATTTCGAGTTTGGTTGCATCTGAAGTGATTAACAAGTGCAGTTTATGAACTATTAATATCTTGTATCGAGCCACATTGTATGGATTACTATAGTTAACTAAATATATTTTATAAGTATAAAGCTTTGGGGCGCCTGGGTGGCTCAGTCAGTTGAGCAGCTGACTCTTGATTTCGGCTCAAGTCATCATCTCGGGCTTGTGGGATCAGGCCCCACATCTGGCTCCTTGCTCAGTGGGGAGTCTGCTTGAGGATTCTCTCTCCCTCTGCATCTCCTCCCACTTGTGTTTTCTCTCTCTCATAAGTCTTTTTAAAACAGTATAAAGCTTATATTTCAGATGGGTAAAGACAGGCCTTATTTTAAAATCATTTGACAATGAGAGTCCTATTCTACTTATATTGTTTAGAAGACCAAGTAGGGGAAATCTGTTGCTGAGTATAGATAGTAGAGCATTACTTGGGACAGTGGCTCCAGTCTAATTAATAATTTGTCCAAAGATCTGTATTTAGTGCAAGGGTGTGTCTTCGTATCAGTTTTCTTAACAGTACAGAGAAGGGATTTGAAATATAGTACCCTTGTAAAGGAAATACTTCTATGTCCAAGGGGGTGGTTTCACAGTTTTCCTTTCATTGGAGCCAATTTCCTTCTTAAATTAAGGGGAGTCTCACATTTTTTTTTTTTTAAAGATTTTATTTATTTATTTGAGACAGAGAATGAGAGACAGAGAGCATGAGAGGGAGGAGGGTCAGAGGGAGAAGCAGACTCCCTGCCGAGCAGGGAGCCCGATGTGGGACTCGATCCAGGGACTCCAGGATCATGACCTGAGCCGAAGGCAGTCGCTTAACCAACTGAGCCACCCAGGCGCCCGGAGTCTCACATTTTTAATGTCCTTCTCGAAAACATACTTCACAGCATATTTTGGAAGTAATTTAGAAGTCACTGTACTGCTAACCCTAACCCATAATCCTCTCCACCTGATGTACTTTAAATCTTGTAACTGGCTTCTATTTGCACTTTGGTCCCTGTCTAGTTCTTTTTACACTGTAATCAGTTCGATGCTTTAAAAATGTAAATCAGTGGGGCGCCTGGGTGGCTCAGTTGGTTAAGCGACTGCCTTCAGCTCAGGTCATGATCCTGGAGTCCCTGGATCGAGTCCCGCAGGGAGCCCGCTTCTCCCTCTGACCCTCCCCCCTCTCATGTGCTCTCTCTCATTCTCTCTGTCTCAAATAAATAAATAAAATCTTAAAAAAAAAAAAAATGTAAATCAGGATGTGCATTGGGTTTAGAATAAAATCTAGCTTACTGTGGTCTTGCTGGGTGGTTTAGGCCCACGTCTTCAATCGCATTTCCTGTCACTTCTTCCTGCTCACTAAGCTATAGCTGCATTAGCCTTCCTCCAGTATTACAAGTATTTCTAGTTTTGTGGTCTTTGCGCATTTTTGTTCTCTTTGCTTGGAAGGTATCTTGGCATGTACTTGCCTCCCTGCAACAACACACACGTGCGTGCACGCATATACACCCACACACACAAATGCACACTGCCACATATATATTCTTTATTTTCTATTTCTTTTTAGGTATTTTACATATAAATGCACAGATCTTAAGTGTCTAATTTAGTGAATTTTTATATATGTATATACCCATATAACCACCACCCCAGATCAAGATACAGAATTATTTCTGGCACCTCAGAAGGCCCCCATTCAGTCTCTTCCATCAAACTACTATTATGACTTCTTTTGTCATAAGTTAATTTATCTGTTTTTGAACTTGATATAAATGGAATCTACAACAGCATGTTCTTTTTAGTGTCTCGCTTCTTTGACTCACTACAGTGTCTCTTATGTTCCTTATCTGTCTTCTCATCTTCTCGGCCTCAGCTGTGTCCCCTTCTTAGAGAAGCTTTCTCTGACTGCTCTATGCACGCTCCCTGCCCCATGTCCTCTCGCAAAATACCCTGCTTATTTCCTTCACGGTATTTAACACAACTTGTGATTATTCCTTGTTTTCGTGCTTACCATCTGTCTCACAATGGGCTGTAGACTTGGTTAACATAGGTAACATTTTGGCTTGTTCATCATTGTCTTCACTGGGCCTAGCAAAAATTTGCCTGGCACAATCATAGGTACTGAACCATAAATACTTGTTGGCTTACTGAATGAATGAATGAAGAATGAACTCTGCCTTGTTTTCTGACTTACACTGAAGTAAAAAAAAAAAGAAAGGTCTGAAACTTTCTAATTTTTGGCAAAATGTTATCTAAAGTAATTCTGATCTTACTAAGAATTTATGAAAATTTTCTCTTGTGGGAAAGATAGACTAATTGTCATAGATGACAGGACCGAATTCTATACCCAAATAAAAATTATTGAATGTACTAAAGAACAGTCTTGAGGGAAGTGTTTAGAAGTTCTGTCTTGATCAGCATTTTTACAGAGACTTAGGTGAAGGCATTATTATCAGCATGACAAATTTACATGCTGAGATTTTGGAGAGGCATAGCTATTACCTTGCATAAGTGAGTCTGAATCTGAAGAGATCTGGAGGGGATAGAAAAATGAGTTGAATCTAGTAAGATGAAATACTATAATGGTAAATGTAGAGTCTGGTACTTAGGTTCCAACAGTCATCCTCACATTAGCATGGAGAAAGGTGGCTTAGTAGTCCAACTGCCCATTCGTATTTAAGTCTGCAGAATGATTTTGTTGCCATAGGAAATTAATAGGTTGAGTATCAGAGGAATATTGAGGAAGAGCGGCTTATGGTCATGTTATTTCTACTCATACACCACATGAAATGTTTCTTATGCCCTGGATCGCATGTTTGTATTGGTTTAACAACAAATTGGATTGCCTGGAACACAGGTTGTCAAGCTAAAGGCCCCAGGCACCTGTTTTTGTGAATAAATATTGTTCTGTAGGCACACAACCGTGCCCATTTGTTTACCTATTTTCTGTGACTGCTTTCTTGCTTCAGTGGTAGTGTTGAGTGTTTATTACAGAGACCATATGGCCTGCAGAGCCTAAAATATTTACTATCTGATGCTTTCCAGAAAAAGCTTTCCAACCTCTGGTCTAAAGTCCAAGACCTAGATGAAGAAGATTGAAAGCATGGCAAGAGGAGCCCCAGAGGAACATGGGATGTTTAAGCAGGCGAAGAGGAGATGTAGGTGCGACAGGGAGAGTGGCCTTCAAATAATTGAAACACTGTTGTTTGGAAGAAAAATTCGACCCTTGTCTGTTTAACTTTGTAAAGCAGAATGAAAACAGGATAGAAAATATGGGACAAGGGGAGGATTTTGTTAGTGTATAGAAAGTTGGTTTAACATGGGTTGGGTTGCTTCTGGAAATAATGAGGTTTTTTGCCACCAGAGGCATTTAAAAAGAGGCCGGATGACTGGTTTACCTGGTTGCACTGATGAGGGTTGGGCACTCAAGAACTAGACATCTTCTGAATTCTTGTAATTCTGAGATTTTGCCTTGGAATGATTCTCTCAAATCCAGGCTGTGGTTTTCAAGCATTTCTCCAGGGTACTAGCTTTGTCTGGCCTTGTAGATTGGAGATCAGGCAAGTCACAGGGAGCCTTAACAGTGGATTATCTACCTGGTGAAGGTGTTCAGATATATACCATTCCAGCAGAAAATAAAAATATATTTAATAAGCTTTAACAAATACCTGAATCTAGTTTAACATCTTTAAGATTTATTTTTTATTTTTTCATGAATGTGGAAGGTTTGAATCATTCTTTTTTCTTCCTATTGATTCACAAGACAGTTTTAAGTTTCTTTGTTTATACTAAGTGAAATGTGATCTTGAAAAATACTCAGGTGTGTAAGGCTGGAGCACAGAGGGTTCTTTAGGTTTATTGTTGGCTACCTTTTGTGATCTCATATTACATTTTCTTGCTGTACTTGAGCTTCAATGTGAAACATCCGTTTAGGCAAACTGACCTTGTGTTTAGTTCTGCATTCTTTTCATACTTCTGGTCTTCTGAAGTAGAAATTTAGAGGTAAAACTTCAGAATTTAAAAAGAGGAGCTTTTCTAATGAAAATGCCATCAGTTAAGGGCCTTCTTATAGATCTAAGTTGAAATTATGGAAAGCTGCTGAGTGAGACTCGTTCAGCAAACATCTGAGTTAAGAACATTGTACTTTGTACATCGTATTAGGTACTCATGTGATGTCTTAAACAGTTTCCTTCTGATTTGGACTTTTTATAACTTTTGTACTTTGTAGTGGACAGTGGGCTTGAAATGTGTGGTTTCCCCATTTATCTGACCTGCTGGCTACGTCAAGTGGGTCTGGGTGCCGACTTCTGTGAAGTGGAGGCCAGGGCCCTCCCCCTTGTCATTGGCAGTCTCTAGAGGCTCGTATTGGTTCCATGTCCTTAGGTCCGAAGACTTAAATCGAAGTGAGGAGCCCTTCGTTCTGCAGAGGTTCAGATGTAATGGTATCTATTATGTGGAAAGGCTTTGTAACCTGTAGGGAGCTGTGCAAGTGCAAGTTGATTTTAGGAAGAGCAGTAACTCGCATTTAAGTAGAGTCTGGCCTTGGCTGCTCAGCCTGTCCCTGTGGCCAGCAGAGGCACACTGAGTTCTTCACCATTTTCCTCCCACTGTCTAGCTCAGATCCACTGTCCCAGTTACCCATTTCGGCAGAATAGGTTGGAGAAATGGAGGCACTCAGACATGGAGTCTGTTGAATCATAGACTTGCTGATTAACTTTGCTAGCAGTATTTAACATTATTTCTATTTATTTACTTTTTTGTTCCATCACACTTTTGAGTCTTGAAACACTGATGAGAAAAGATTTCCTGCATATTTGGAAGCATTCAGGAAGAAGTTTTGACCTTTAATTATGATTTTTAAAAAATTAGATATTCAAATGCTTACTACTTATTTTATGTACATACTAAGTGTTAATATAAAACACAAAACTTTTTTCAGACATTTGACTGTTGTAATGTTTAAATGTCAACTGGACAAGTTAGGTAGTATTCCCACTCTTTGAGGTGGGAATTATCCCTTACCAATTAAGTATCTCTTCTTCCCTATACTAGTAGAGTGTTTCCGACATGCTAGGTACTCCAGTGTGTGTGTGTCTGATGAATAAGTCATTGACGTGACTCTTAAAATTATATATATGTAAATATATATATAAATACAGATAATAAAATTTCCTTTGAATTTTTATTAACTAGCTCAATAATTAGGGAATAAACTGTATTACCACAGAACCCTAACCTGTTGTTGTCTTTCTTTGCTTATTTATGCAATCCATTTTCCTGCTGTAAAGGGATCTGTCGTCCTTTGGTGGTTAAAACACATTTAATAATATCTAATACTTACATAGCACTTACCGTGGGCAAGGTACTACTTTAAGTGTTTTGTGCATATGATTAATTTCTTAATTTTTATGACAGTCCTTTGAGGTAGAAGCTATGGTCCTCATTTACAGGTGAACAAACTAAGGCAGAGATTAAGTAACTTGCCCAAGGTTGCACAACTAGTAAGTGCATTAGTGGTGGTCTGAGGAGGTTGAGAAAGTCAGTGTTTGAATGTATACAGTGTGCACATTGTGATCTTGCATTGTGAGAACTTGTAAGCAATATAAATTTCTCTACTGAAACATTTAACATTGTAAAAGTTGATTGAATGAAAAAAGAAATCTGGCTGTACTTGGCTGTCTTTGTACCATTTATATTGTTCCTCCAATTTTGTTTAGATGAGGACATCATGTAAATAGACATATTCTCTAGGTTATTTTTGTATTATTATTTTCACTCCAGAAATACTGTTCTACTTGTTGGTGTGCAAGGGTAACTGAATATTTTCTTTTATTTCTTAACAGTACAGTGCTGTGGATACCAATCCACTCTCTCTGTATATCATGCATCCATTTTGGAACACTATAGTAAAGGTAAGACAATTAATAGACTTGTACTTATGTTTTAGTAAGTTTTAAATATTTTACGGAGTGTTATGGATGCAACTGTTTAATAAGATATAAGAGAAACTAGCTCTCCTATACTTCTTTCCCTTAGTCACATACCTTTTGATTTATCTCAGTGTTGGAGTATAAGCTTATACTCTATAATTTATCATTTTTATAAAATGAATCTAAAAATTTTCTTAAGTAAATGTAGTGTTATGATTAGAAAAGTTTGTTGATTATAGAATTATTTAAAATATAGAAAAGAGAAGAAAGATGCTTATTTTTATCAACTGGACATTATGGTTTATGATCTTTCAAGTTTATAGCTTTTATTATGACTTAAATTTGCATCTTGTGTAGTGGCCAGAGAGATTCCTTTACTTTCATTATTTTTTAATTATTTTGAAAAAAAAATTAGGTATTTCCTCCTTGGCTGGCTCCAAATCTGATAACCTTCTCTGGCTTTCTGCTGGTTGTATTCAACTTTCTACTTATGGCATACTTTGATCCTGACTTTTATGCTTCAGGTAAGATTATTACTTTAATACAAAATTTAAAGTGTCTAAATAGAGAAAAGTGAGATGTGGTTATTTTCTGGTTCTATTCATAGGCTTGTATTTGGGGGAAGTTTTGGATACTATAAGGGTATGTAAAATGTTAGGAATTGAGTGTAAAAGCTAAGTTGTGTTTTCACAATCTGTTATGGATGTTTCCATTAAATTCTAGACACCAGCTTGGCTACTTAATTTAGATATGCTGTCTAAAAAGCAATGAGGTTTTGATAAAGAATAATTGGATTTATAAGAAGAAGAAATTAGGATTATGACACTTTGCCTGAAAGTGAATATGAGCGTGGTCCAACATACCCAGCAGTTCCAGAAATATCCCTTCTTCCCTTGTTCTCATTATGCAAGAAAAATCCCCCCCCGCTTTTTTGGGAGGGAATGTGATCTCTCTTTCCCTCTGCTCAGCATCTGTATTTGCCTTTAATACCTCCAAGTTTTCTCTGAAAATGGTTCTTAGACCTTAAATGTTGATTGAAGTTTAAGGTCTTAAGAACCTCATTGGAAGAGAGAGGAAAGAAATGCTTTTGGAGGCAGTTGTTAGCCTGCTTGCACCCCAGACTCCAGTATCTTCTTTCACATCTGTTCCTGTCCTCATGTTCTCCCTCACCCTGTTTCTGCCCCAGGCCATAGGACAGCATCTGGCTGTATTTGGGATGAAGGGGGATAAGTGGGAGATAGAGTTTATTTTCATTGCTCAGCTAGTTGATGGAGTTGAGAGAAATGGAAAGATGGAGGTAGATGAATATTTTTTGCATTCTAAGTTGGAGTATATATTTTCCAATAAGAATACTTACAAATGATGTAGTAGTAAGGAGTTTTAGTGTTATAATTCATCTGTGTTGTAGGTTTAGCAGACTTTTGTGGACTGACTTGCAGAAACTAACAGTCACTGAAAACATTGTTTTTATAGGAAAATTCAGATTTTCACAAACTTATGACTTGGTATTATAGAAATTCTGAATATTGAAACTATACATTTGCTTAACTGTCAATTGAAATTTTAAGCCATGGCTTCTGTACATGTAATAAAATGGCAACTTTATGAAGATCATAAGGTATGACATGATTAATAAGATTAAATTTTATTAAGCATGGTGTGGATATTAAGCAGTTTTTAAAAATTTGTATTTTAATCTTCAGAACATCCTCAAAAGTTTGTTTTGTAACTAGAAATATTTTATCCAACTACTGTAACATTATTTACTCAGTTATTAAGAGAGCTAAAAATATGTAAATATTATGCGTATTTCCCCAAATCATAGAACCTAGAGGACCAGGTAAACCATCTCGTCCTGGTATATTTGGTAAATGGAAGATGGGAAGGGTTAAATGATATATTCATGGTCACACTGCTGGTTGAATACAGAGCTGGGACTGGAACCTAGACCTCCTAATTCTCAGTTGTTCTATCTTAGGGTAAATAGTGAGGTCCAGACATTTCAGAATGAGTCTGATGCCAAATCATCCAGTGGAGGTGACCTATCTGTACCCAAACGAAAAGGTCTTTTGTTTAGCTAATTAATAATGTAATGAGAGAATATAGATTGAAGGCTTAATGTATGTTGTAGGATAATTGTAAACAATGAGGATCAGATTAAACACAAGCATCTTTTAAGTTCCAAAAATATTAATTTTCATTCTCAGCACATAAGTAATTTTCAAGTAAAGATGAACAATCAGTTTTGAGTTATGATTAAAGCTCAAAATAAATGCCTGTTGTTTATGAGGGGTTGGGCAGTTACTTCTTTGGTTTTGTCAGTTTACTGATATATTTTAATATCTGCATTAAAAGTGTATTATAATTTACTTTAATAAATAGAAATATTTCTATATTTCTCATTGCCAGTATATAGTATGGTAAGCATGCTTATACTTTGTATTAAAACCCATGTTGTTTTCCTTTGCAGCACCAGGTTACAAGCATGTCCCTGATTGGGTTTGGATTGTAGTGGGCATCCTCAACTTCATAGCCTACACTCTAGGTAAGAAAATGGCAAATACTCATGTTAGTCAATGGCTTGTGAATCTGTCAGCAGGGATAGCATTCCACTAAGTTAACTAACATTTTCTCCTGTGCTTAATTCATTTTAACTTGGGTTTATTAATTTCCTGTTCAATTTAAAACAAATGTTTTTGAGTTTATCTATGGAAAATACTGTCACTCATTGCTGGGGATGCAAAGAATAAGGTAGGAGTTGGCGAACTACCTCTTGCAGGCCAACTCTGGCCTGTTGCCTGTTTTGACAGGTAAAGTTTTATTGGAACACAGCTCTATTTATTCCTTTATATGTTGTCTATGCCTGCTTTCTGCAACAAAGACAAAGCTGAGTTGTTGCAACAAAGACTACTGATGACCCACAATGCCTCAACTATTTCCTGTCTCTTTACATAAAATATTTACCAACAGCTGGAATAAGACGTCATTTTTGCCTTACGTTTGGGAAGCAATACTGACATATCAAATAGTTGTGGAATACTGAGAGAGCTGCTATAATAGAGCACAGTGGGAGAACAAAAATAATTGGGAGAATAAAAAAGTGATCAATTCTTATTTGGTGGAGGGGGTGGTCAGGGAAGTCTGCTGTGTTAGGCCGTATTGTCTGTTGTGCCAAGAATGCTTTTTTGTTGGGGTTATCTGCATGGCTTGTCGTGCGTGCTCCTATTCTCCTTCCCTGCTTTGTTTTTCTCCATAGTACTTAAAGCCATATGAACTGCTTGTTGTCTGTCTCCTCTAAAATGTACATAGCTTTGAGGGCTATGTACCCACTGTTGAGAACAGTGCTTAACACATAGTAGGCACTCAGTATATAGTTTTTAAATGAATATAAAATACCAGACCCTGACTTCACGTTGCTTAGATCTCTTGGTAAAAATGACTTGCACTCATAAAACCGGTATAATTTGGTACATGACTAAATGCTGACATTGCAGGTGACCAGAGCTGCAAGGGTTTGGGGAAGGAAGAAAGTGAAGTCCAGAAGAATTAGGGGAGAACTTAGTGAAAAATGACATTTTTAGGCAGAAGCTTTTGTACATTTGTTCTTAAAGATGAGCAGCTTTGGAGCGCCTGGGTGGCTCAGTTGGTTAAGCGTCTGCCTTTGGCTTGGGTCATGATCCCAGGGTCCTGGAATCCAACCCCACATCGGGCTCCCTGCTCAGCGGGGAGTCTGCTTCTTTCTCTCCCTCTGCCTGCTGCTTTGCCTACTTGTGATCTCTCTCTATCTCTCTGTCAGATAAATAAATAAAATCTTAAAAAAAAAAAAAAGAGCAGGTTTAAGAATTCAATAAGGTTTGGTTACCAAGGGAAATAGGGAAAATGTTGAGAGTGGCCTGAGGCTCTGGCTTTTAACAGCATGTCTTAAGAGCCTTTTGATAATACCGTATCACTTACCTGGTTCATGTCCACAATTTTGGCAAAAATCCTGACCAAACATGAACTATTTGTTGCAAAACTGCCTTGAACTAATGTGAGGCAATGTACAAACTTTATTCTACTAGTGTGACTATTCTTACATTTTGCTGCAGGGTGCTGTCTAGGTCCTCCTGGGTTGTTCCCCACTCCCCCATAATATATGCTATATGCCCTGAATTCCCTTTCTTAAAATGAAACAAAAAACCCCTTCTGAAACATATCCAGACTTGTGGAGCTGGAATGGGTTCAGTGAGATGTACAGAACCTAATTATATGCAGTCCATGAATTCAGTGTTTGTAATAACTGCCCAGGAGTTGCACCACAAACAGGAATTTAAGCCAGCAAATAATGAGAAAAGACTTTGTGGAAACATTTTAGCTACTTAAGGGCAAAAAAGTTCCCAACGCTATATAACAGAGATCTGCAGTGTTTGGGCAGGAATCTGGGCTTCATCCTTTTCTGTATTCCTTCAGCAATATTTTTAAAGGCCTTCTCTGCCACAAACTGAGGTAGGCCCTGGGGATAATACTATAGGGAGCAAGATAAACCAGTCATCATAGGAATTGTTAATTCCTAAAATCTGAATCTTTACAATTAGCCTAATAGTTAATAAAACTATTTCTTTTGGGGAGAAATTTTTATGGTTCAGCTTCTTTTTTTTTTCTCTTAATAATAGCTCCCCTACTAGACAGACAGTTCCTGAGAGACCACAAGAATGGTATCTTCTTTAGCAGGGTGGTTGGTTCTGCACAAGCATGCAGAGCTATGCTTTGGACTCTTCTTTTTAACTAGGCTTTCTCATTTTCTCTTTCTCTCTGTTTCTGCCCCTAAATGAAGGTGTTCCCCTGTGCTTTATCCTTCACTTTCTCTTTCCACTCATTGCCTTGGCAATCCTGATCCTTCCCACTGTGGGGATGACTCCTGTGTTTATATCTAGCCCTCATCTGTCTTCTGAGTTGCTATTAAGTACCTTAGGTTGAGTTGCGTGATATTACCATATGGATAATTCTGCCAACACTTCAGTTTTAGCACCTAAAATTGTACTCAGCATCTTTTCCACCAGTCACGCTCCTTCTTTGACTTCTTTATTTCCTACCCCCCTCTTAGTTACCCAGATGGGAAATTTTGGAGAGGATGTTTCAGTCCCTCAGCCTCACTGGTCATCTTTCGCTGCATTGCCATTTTTATTTTCTTAATATCTCACCTGCCTCCAGCCTTTCATTGCCACTGTATCCCATGTCAGTGTGGGCCTGCTGATTAGTGTGCTCTCTCCAGCCTGTCATTCCCCACTGATGCCAGGGGAGTCTTCGCAAAGCTCGTCACTGCTTTCACCCTTATCACTCCTCTACTCATCCTTTTAGTAGCTCTTCGTACTCCCTGAAACTTTTTAAACTCGCTCCAGCCTCCCTTCTAGCCTCTCTACTGCCCTTTTCATGTACTAGTTTCTTCTGGTCAACCTGAACTACTTGGCATTCTCTGAACACTCATGTGCTTTTCCATCTTGGTGTTTTTGCCGATAGCACTTTCTCCTCTTGAAATAGCATACTCTTATCTACTGAAATCCAACTCATTCTTTATGTCTGTACTCCGGTTTCATCTTCTCTGGAAGGCCATTCTCAGTTATCTTAGCCTGAAGAGTACTTGTCCCTTTTCTGTACTCTTCTGTGGTTTGGGATGTACTCTATCTTTCATTACCATGTTTTGTTACCTTTCTCAGTTGTAAACTGAGGGCACAAACTTAGTTTATTCTGAGATTATTCTTATAATCTTCACAACATCAAGAATAGTGCATTGCATGGTTTTAATACGTTCTTACATTTACTGAATGCCTACTATGTGCAAAGTCTTTTCTGAAAGCACTTAAAATTGTGGAAGTGGTACATCTGTGACGTAGTGACTAATTTCAAGTAAGATGAAATAGGTGTTAGGACAGAAGCGCACAGGGTGTTTTTGGATCCTAGAGCAAAGAGTGGTTCGATAAATTGTAATGAGTAACTATTGAATTTTCTCTGGAGGCTTGAAAATTTGTGGCTAGCAGAATAACTTGGTTGTTTGGCTGATTTGGAGGAATTCAGAGTCCAACTACGATGCTTTGTCTTAAGATCTAAAATTGACACCATTTAGTGTGATTAATGTATTTTAATTTTCATTAACCAATTATTTATTTTTAAAGATTTTATTTATTCATTTGACAGTGAGAGAGGGAACACAAGCAGGCAGAGGGAGAGGGAGAAGCAGGCTCCCCGCTGAGCAGGGAGCCCGATGCGGGACTTGATCCCAAGACCCCCGGATCATGACCTGCGTGGAAGGCAGACGCTTAACCAAGACTGAGCCACCGAGGCGCCCCGTATTTTAATTTTTAAGTTAAACTCTGAGAGATTGTAGATTTTATTTCTGAAATCTTTGAATTGTAGGAATTAAAGGTTGGATTTTTATAAAAAGTACTGGCTGGTAGCTATTCTTTAGTTTATTAACATTCCTATAATATGGTGATCTGTTTTATGTTTCTCCAGTGTATTAAAGAAGACTTTCCCCATACTGGTACAGATGTTGACCTTTTCCCATGGTAATGTGTTTTTGTTGCAGATGGTGTGGATGGAAAGCAAGCCCGGAGAACCAATTCCAGCACCCCTTTAGGGGAGCTTTTTGACCATGGCCTGGATAGTTGGTCATGTGTTTACTTTGTTGTGACTGTGTATTCCATCTTTGGACGAGGACCATCTGGTGTCAGTGTTTTTGTTCTTTATCTCCTGCTATGGGTAGTTTTGTTTTCTTTCATCCTGTCCCACTGGGAAAAATATAACACAGGGATTCTTTTCCTGCCGTGGGGATATGACATTAGCCAAGTGGTAAGTATGTGTTCTGCTTTAAATTTTCAACATGGCCATGAATTTTGGGGGCAAGTTTTTGTCGTTCCTTCTTTATAGCCCTTATACTTTTTTGGCTAGAACTGATTTGTGTTTTTAAAAAATTTCCTTTTTTTTTTTAAGATTTTATTTATTTGTCAGAGAGAGAGAGAGAGCAAGCACAAGCAGGGGGTGGGGCAGGCAGAGGGAGAAGCAGGCTCCATCCGAGCAAGGAGCCTGATGCGGAACTCGATCCCAGGGCCCTAGGATCATGGCCGGAGCTGAAGGCAGCTGCTTAACCAATGAGCCACCCGGGCGTCCCTAAAAAATTTCCTTTTTATTTTGTGTTATTTCTTGCTTATTTATGAACAATTTCAAACAAAAAAGTAGAATAGCATAGTGAACCCTTATGTACCTGTTACTTAGATTCAGCAGCTACGTGGCCAGTCCAGTTTCATGTATACTCTTCCTCGCAATTATTTTGAAGGAAATTCCAGATAGTACGTGATTAGTATTTCACTACATATCTCTAAATAGTAAGAGTAGTTTTTAAAAAACCATAATCACAGTGTCGTCATTATTAAAAAATGAACAGTTTCTTAATAAATATTCCTTTGAACTGTTCATTTTTGTAAAGAAAGATATGCACATATAATTGTTGCTTTTTTGTCTTTACTGCCCATGTTTCAATGAGTAGGGATACTTGTTTTCTCTTACTTAATAGGCTTGCTATTAACTCTCCCTGCCTTTGAATACTAGCTTTTTTGTGTTACCATTTTGCCCATTTGCGCCTAAGGCCCCAGTAAAGCATCAGACTTTGGAGTGTGTTTGAAGAAAGAGATTGGGTAGGCAAATTGGATCATCCTATGCCTTAACCAATTCCTGACATGCCTTTAAGTGTTCTAAATTATGGCCAGTTGCTTGCATTGTTTAGAAGTTAATTATTTTATGGCATTGTTGGCTGAAAAAAGACATTTTTAAAGGCAAGAAGACTTGACACAGTATCAAATTTAAGTGTACTTCTTGCTTTTACTAAAACTATTTACTAGACTTATGCTGCATACAGCTTTATTAGCTCCCTGATCTTTCCAGCTGTTAATGCCTCTGTATGCTTTTGTCTGCATTTTCCTTCCAGACTATATCTTTTGTCTACATAGTGACTGCGATTGTGGGAGTTGAGGCCTGGTATGAACCTTTCCTGTTTAATTTCTTATATAGAGACCTATTCACTGCAATGATTATTGGTAAGAAGCTCCATGTTGAAGCCTATTTTAACATCACTTTATTATTGAAGCCAGTGTTTGATTATCACAAGCTATACCACCTTTCCCCTCTCCCACACCCTCCAGCAAGCGGAACAGCCCTACAACCCTGGTTTCAACCAAACCAGTAAGGAAAATTGAGGTTTCTGTGTTTTGGTTTTTTTGTTTAGCACTAAGCTATTTCTAGTCAGAAGGAAATAAATACCAAAATCACATAAACCTTGTAAACTAACTATTTAAATGAACCTAGACTGTTCTAGAGGATCCACATTTAGGTGGATATTTGGTATAGATTTCATGCCTGTCTCAAAGTTGAAGATCATTAGTTTGTAGGAAGTAGAATAGATGGAAGATAGAGATTACTTCATAATACATCCACTCCAGAAGTTGAGCCTTTGTTCCTCTCAGATACTCTCCTTTTGCCACTGGCCATTAGTAGGTAGAGGTTTTTGATCATGGTAATGTTTCCCTTTTGATTTTAGCCAGAGGGGATATCTATGGGAGGCAGAGTGTTTTCTGTGCAAAGAGGCAAGGAGGAAGTTATTTGGGCTGTGATTTGGGGGCACTAGGAGTGGCGTTAGAACCTCTGTAGAAGTAAAATAGCAAACTCTTGGCTATTGCTCTGTTCCCTGATCTAAAATATAACCCCCTCTCTCACTGCCAGTGAACATTGGTAATAGAATGGGCATTGGGTAGGGTTTGGAAACAGCTGAGAAGTGGTGCATTAGGCACTGGCTTTTGGGTGGTGGTTTGGGCCTTTGTCTGTGGCCCTGAACTACAGGTATTTTAGAACCCCGCTGTTATCTTCCAAATGTTCATTTTTGGGTTTCTATATGAACTGAATCCTCTTCCTTGGAAAGGCTAGCTATTTGTCACCCCCACCACATAGTGAATCTTTTGATTTAAGTGACTAGTCTTGTGGCGGTATTGCTGCATTTTATGTTTAAATGTTAAACTTAATGATAAGATGGAACCCTCTGGTATGTGAGATATATTTTTGAATGTTAAGGAGGTACTTTAACAGGCACATAATTTTTTTTGTAATTTATAAGTTTATCTGAATTCTTCTCTCGAAATAAAACAAAAGCCCACGTTTCTTTACAAATAAATAAAGCAGCTTTCCCAATACAGGTATACCTCGTTTTATTGCACTTCACTTTATTGTGCATTGCAGATACTGTGGTTTTTACAAACTGAAGCTTTCTGGCAACATATTAGCAAGTCTATTAGGGCCTTTTTTCCAACAGTGTTTGCTCATTTCATGTCTCCGTGTCTCCCTCTGTCATATTTTGGTAATTCTCGCAATATTTCAAACTTTTGCATTATTATATTTGTCATGGTGATCTGTGATCAGTGATCTTTGATGTTACTATTGGAATTGTTTTGGGGCCCCACAAACCACACCCATATAAGATGGCAGCTTAATTAATAAATGTTGCGTGTGTCTGACTGCTCCACCTACCTGCCTCTCTTCCTCTCCTCGGGCCTCCCTATTTCCTGAGACACAGTATGGAAATTAGGCCAGTTAATGACCCTCCGGTGGCCTCTAAGTGTTTAGATGAAAGGAAGAGTCACACATCTCTCACTTTAAACCACAAATTAGAAATGATTCTAATCATTTGATTCTAGTCAAATGATTCTAATCACTTGGAAAAAAGCCAAGATAGGCCAAAGCCAGGCCCCTCGCACCCAACAATTAGCTAAGTCTGTAAATGCAAAGGAAAAGTTCCCAAAGGAAATGAAAACTGCTACTCACTGAATACACGAATGATAAGAAAGCAAAACAGCCTTTTTGCTGATATGGAGAAAGTTTGAGGGGTCTGGATAGAAGATCAGATCAGCCACAACATTCCCTGAAGCCAAAGCCTAATTTAGAGCAAGGCCCTAACTCTCTTCAATTCTGTGAAGGTTGAGAGAGGTAAAGAGGCTGCAGAAGAAAGGTCTGAAGCTAGCAGAGGTTGCTTCTTGAGGTTTAAGGAGAGAAGACTTCTCTATATCATGAAGGTGCAAGGGGAAGCAGCAAGTGCTGATGTAGAAGCTGCAGCAAATTATCCAGAAGATCTCGCTAAGATAATTAAGGAAGGTGGCTACGCAAACAACAGATTTTCAGTATAGATGTGACCGTTTTAATACTGGAAGGAAATTACATCTAGGACTTTCATAGATAGGAGAAGTCAGTGCCTGGCTTCAAAACTTCAGAGGACAGGCTGATTCATGTTAGGGGCTAATGCAGCTGGTGATTTGAAGGTGAAGCCAGTGCTCACTGACTATTCTGAAAATCCTTAAGGGCCCTTAAGAATTTGCTAAATTTACTCTGTCTGTCCTCTGTACATGGAACAACAAAGCCTGGATGGTAGCACATCTGTTTACAACATGGTTTACTGAATATTTTAAGTCCACTATTGAGATCTGCTCAGAAAAAAGGGATTTCTTTCAAAATACTACTTCTCATTGACAAGCACCTGGTCACCCAAAGCTCTGATGACAATGTACAATGAGATTAATGTTGTTTTCATGCGTACTAACACAGCGTTCATCCTGCCGGAGATTGAATAGTAATTTTGACTTTCAAGGTTTATTATTGAAGAAATAAATACCTTTTTATTGAAAGCCTACTTTGGAAAGAATTCACCATTCTAGGTTCCATTAAGAACATTCATAATTCATGGAGAGAAGTCAAAATAATCAACATTAACAGGAATTTGGAAGAAGTGATTTCCAACCTTTATGGATGACATTGAGAGGTTTAAGACTTCAGTGGAGGAAGTAAGTAGCCGTGGTGGAAATAGCAAGAGAACTAGAATGAGAAGTGGAGCCTGAAGATGGGACTGAATTGCTGCCATCTCATGATCAAACTTTGTAACAGATGGGGAGTTCTTACGGATGAAAAAAGAAAGTGGTTTTCTTGAGATAGAATCTGTTGGTGAAGATCTGTGAAGATTGTTGGAATGACAACAAAGGATTTCGAATATTACATAAACCGAGTTGAATAAGGCAGTGGCAGGGTTTGAGAGGATTGGCTGCTATTTTGAAAGAAGTTCTGTGGATAAAATGCCATCAACCAGCATTGCATACTGTAGAGAAATTGTTTGTGAAAGGAGGAGTCAGTGTGGGAAACTTCATTGTTTTCCGTTTTAAGAACTTGCCATAGCTACCCCCAACAGCAGCCATCAGCCTCGAGTTAAGACCCTCCACCAGCAAAAAGATTATGACTAGCTGGAAGCTCAGATGATGGTTAGAATTTTTTAGTATAAAGTATTTTTTAGTTAAGGCATGTACATTTTTTAAATACATAATGCTATTGTAATCTTAATAGGCTACATTATAGTATAAACATAACTTTTATGAACTGGGAAACCAAAAAATTTATGTGACTTGCTTTATTGTGACATTCACTTCATTGTGATGATCTGGAATGCAACCCGCAATATCTCTGAGGTATGCCTGTACTTTCTATGGCAAGTACATTAGGTGCTATTTAGAGAAGAAATAGAAGATACAGTGTGTCTTTTTGGCAACCTATATATAGCCCAGGCTTTCTACATGCTTGCTGTATTTAAGATAAAGCTATTTCAAGATATTTGAAACTAAAAATACTCTTAGTAGCAAATCTTTTGCAAGTTTCTGTCAGCCTATTTCCAACACCTCAGAGCTATAGTGATTCTGGGTTAATTAATTCAGCCCCTGCTCCCTACCAGTTCTTCCCAGCTTGACACAGAGTCAGCTTGTCTTCCCTTCCTTTCTAAGCTCTTCTAGCTTGGGGAACTTTGTCACATTTGGGCTTGGAAGTGGCAGAGTAATTCATCTTTTCAAATGAGATTTCTGTTTGGTGGATTCTAGTCTTTTTATCTGTTTTTAGCAAAATGTCTTAGGAATTGTTTTGAAGGAATGTTTTTCTGTCTTTGATCCCTAAGGTCATAGCTGCATTGACCACCTTCCCACCCCAAGCCAAGTATACAGCGGGAGTCTGGTGTGGACAAGCTAGGGCTAATCTGTTGAGTGATGGTGACATACTCAAATGAAGTAGCCCGAAACTTGCCACAGGTGTTGATTTGGAGTTTGACAGAGAAAAAAAATCAGGAATTTACATCTCTGTAATTTGTAGAACCAGAGAATTTAAAAAATGCCAGGGACATTAGGAAGTCAATTAACCCATCCATATTGTACAGCTGTGGAATCTGAAGCTCAGACAGATTGTCTGATTTGCCCAAGAGTACATTACTAGATTTCGGAGTCACCTGTAGGAAACTTGCAGTTAAACTGTAAGAGAGGATTCTCTGAGGGAGAATAGAAGCACAGTTGAATGCCCAGTTAGGAATATGCAGGAGGCAGAGCTGCCAATAAAGGATAGCACATGTAATGCTTGGATAACTAACAGCACTGGGAGAATGGATCACAAAGGCAAAGGCAGGAACAAATTGCAGTTAGTGGAGGGTCAGCAGAGTCCTCTTACTTAGAAGTCAGGAGTGAAGAAAGAATATTGAATTTGATCATTAGGAGAACTTGGTAAATTCCAGAATACAGTTTCTGCAGAGAGAAGGCAGAATGAGTGAGTACTGAGGAATTGAAGGCCACCAGCAAGGTCTAGCGAGTGATAGGGGAGTAAGAGAAGAAGTGGAGAGGGAGAAGCAATGGGGTGGGGGTGGGGGGCTTCTTGGGAAGGCTGTCCTTGTTTTCAGGTTTGAGGGGAAAGAACTAGTGTATGCTTAGGGGTGGGCGGAGGAACTGAGAATGCTAGGGAGATAAATAAGTGGAAATGGGAAACCACAGAATCCATTAACCATCCCCTTTCAGTAACTCACACTTGTGCAATTTACTGCATACCAGGTACTGTTCCAGGTGTTTTTATGTGTAATAACTCATTTAATTCTCAAAACCCTATGGGGTCAATCCTATTATGTCTATTTTATAAAAGAAGAGATTGAGGCACTGAAACATTAATCTGCCTGAAATCCCATAACCTGTAGGCACAACCAAAGTTCAAGCCCGATCTTTCCCCTGAGCCTCTGCTCTGAAAACACCAAGCTGTACTGCCACTCTTCTGGTTGTAAATGTTGTTCAGAAGTGTATTTAATTTCATTACAAAAGTGAACCTGAACCTGAGAGTTACTGGGTCTAAAAGCATTAAATATTTTGTATGTATTTGATAATTATAAACATCACTCTTGAATAATAATCACAATAATTTAAATATTCTTCCTTTTAGGTTGTGCGTTATGTGTGACTCTTCCAATGAGTTTATTAAACTTTTTCAGGTAAGTATTTCTTAATTGGGCAAGAAATGTGAAAATCCTTACATAGATGAATTTTAGGCTCTGTTTTACTTTTGGCATCTGGACATTTTGAAAAGGTCGTGAAACCTGTATTTTGAACCTAGAATGAGGTTAGGATCATTTAGGGTCTACAGCGACGGCTCTGTAGTCAGTTCAACCATAGCACAAAACTGCTGGTTCTTTTGTTATAATTTTTGGCTCACCAGTCTTCTATTTGTCATTTTTTTGTGGAGTGAATTGGGAAGGAGTGTGTTCTTGTTGAATATTGATAGGTTCATGTTCTTTTTAGAAATTGATTACAAGTTTTTATGAATTGATTCTGTGTAAGTGTAGTCAGCATGATCATAAAATTTCTGGACTTGTGTAGTTTAGGACCTAACCCTGAATCTATGCTGACTTCCCAGGTAGCACTATGTAAAAATTCTTGCCAGAGGAATGGGGCAAGGGTTCGGGAGGAGTTTCCTGGCTGGCATTTCATTTCTTTGATCTGCACTTCTCCACCTTTGCTCAGCCACGCTGAATTTACATAGGGGACCTGAATGTATTTTGCTGTTTCCCTCCTTGGTAATTTTGTTCCCACTTCCCTCTAATACTGTTTCCTTTGCTTGAAATGCTTGTACTTCCCTCCTCGTCCTTCAGCCCTCAGATCTGTCCTGCAGAACCCTATCTGTGTCCCTCTGAGCTCTATGAATCTTCCCTATTCATGGCAACTGGCAGCCACTCATAGAAACCGTAACATTTCAGGCTCTGAAGGCCTTCCAGATGGAGACATTTTCTCCTCATCTTCTAAGGATGAGGTCCTGATTAGGCGGTATCTTGTCCAGGATCATGTAATCAGGGGCAGAACCAAGACTAGAATTTGGGGCTCTGTTCAGATGAGCTGACACGTAATGGAGTGTGTGCTGGAGACACTGAGATGGGCTATGGGTGGTCTCAGTGCAGAGTCTTCCACTCGTTGGTTCTCTGTCACTTTGTATTGTCGCAGCACTCTTGAGTTCTTCCTCGTGGTGTTTTGTGTGCATTTTATTTCCCCTGTTGGAGTGTAAGTCTCCCAGAACAAAGATCAAGTGCTAGTCATCTTTACATTCCAGGGGACTAGGGCTCAGAAGACTTCCGTTCTAGTCCTGACCCTGCCACTTGGTAGCAAGCTATGTAAACTTAAATTCTCACACCGTCACTTAACCTGTCTGCAGAATAGGGTTAGTAATGTTGGTTCTTTTTGTGCTATGGGATTATTGTGAGTATAAAGTAAGAGAGTAAGTGTGAAAGTACTTTTGGAAACTAGAAAATTTACAAACTCAGTGTGAGTTTTATATGTAATAATGTTCTTTGTATTACTTGATTTTCTTTTTTTCAGAAGCTATAAAAATAACACCTTGAAACACAATTCAATCTATGAAGCTATGGTTCCCTTTTTTTCTCCATGTTTGCTATTCATTTTGTCTACAGCATGGATCCTTCAGTCGCCTTCAGATATTTTAGAGTTGCATCCTAGAGTATTCTACTTTATGGTTGGAACAGCCTTTGCCAACATCACAGTAAGATTTTTTTCTTTTAAAATTAGTCATAATATATCTAAGGAGTATATGACAAAATTTGATAATTTGAGAAATTTTATATAGTATTGAAAATAAACAGATTTTAATTTAAAGATATTTTACATCAGAAACTTGAAAGAATTATAACCCCTAAGACAGAAATGCTGAAAATTATTTTTTCCTTTTCCAGATGGCTGCAGATCTAATGATTAATTTAGCGAGGCTGAAAGGGGTTTTTGAGAGAAAATACACACACACACACACACTTCTAAATCAGCTGATTTTAAAATTAACGGGGAGTAAAAACTTTGTAATAAATAGAACTTTTTTTTTTAAAAAAAGATTTTATTTATTTATTTGAGAGAGAGAGAGCACATGAGAGGGGGGAGGGTCAGAGGGAGAAGCAGACCCCCTGCTGAGCAGGGAGCCCGATGCGAGACTCGATCCAGGGACTCCAGGATCATGCATGACCTGAGCCGAAGGCAGTCGCTTAACCGACTGAGCCACCCAGGCGCCCAATAGAACATTTTTTAAAAGCCCTTTCTTTGCGATGGCCCAGCAAGAGAGCAGACAGGTAGGAGAGATCAGGAGGAGTTGAGAAGGGACCTTAATGGTTCTCACAACCAGGGAGCCTGTGCTCTAACTCTAAAAACTTAGTTTTTACTTTATAAGGTAGCCACTGAGTTTATGTTTCCGTGTCTGTAACATGTGTTCAGTATCACCAGTCTTATTGAATTCACAGGGTTTAAAGATGTGAAAATAGTAATACATTGTATAAAAGGTATCTCAGAAGGAATAAAGCTAGATTTGAGTAAGGTATTGAAAGTAAAGGGAGCCAGAGAGGTCTTGGTGTTACTGTGACCATATGATTGAATTGGAGGCAGCATCTCCTCAGCACCATGAAGAAATTTAGTTGCATGGAGCTGTAAAAGGTTGTTTTGAAAGTTTTTTTTCAGATATCATGCTTAAAATTGGGAGAAATTTCTTTTATCCAAACTGTTACCTAGTGGAAGAATGCCTTCCGTAGCAACCTGACTAAATTATCTTCCCGCCTCTTCTGACACACGCTCTGAGGGTCTGTGGGCTTGGACGTGTGGGCAGAGGTTCACTTTGGCTCCTGAGCAGTTGAGAACTACTGATTTTAATAATGTCGTGTAACTGTGTGGGTTCAAGTACTTGAAATGCTTTTTAAATGTTGGAGTTACTAATTTTGGAAGTGCTTTGCTAATTAAATTTTCATTCTTTCCGCCCCCCAACTTCAAGTGTCAGCTGATTGTTTGTCAAATGAGCAGCACCCGGTGCCCAACTTTGAATTGGTTCCTGGTTCCTCTTTTCTTGGTTGTCCTGGTGGTAAACTTAGGAGTACCCTCTTACGTTGAGAGCATTCTCCTGTATACTTTAACAGCTGTTTTCACTCTGGCCCACATCCATTATGGAGTACAAGTGGTGAGTACTCTAGAGCAAAATTGATTCCATTTGGTTCTTATGTACTAGGAAAGGTGAGGGAAAAATTTCATAAGAAAGTAACTTATTAAAGTAACTGGAAGGAAAAAAAAATAAAGTAGCTGGAAGAATTGGGATATTCTCTATAAATTTTGAATAATATCCAGTACATAATTTCAGATACCGTTTCTCTGATGAATATGTTACAGTAACTACAAGTAATTTAAAAGCTGGATAATTACGAGGAATTAGTTGTTTTTAAGTAGGTAGAAATGTAAACTGTTTTCTTGGTGAATGGAGTTGTAAACTCTTATGTGCTTTTAATTCTGTGAGGACCAAATAATCCCATTTGTTGATGATTTATTTCTGTACTTGCTTCGTTAGCTTTAGGGGCATTTTTATAAGGGGGAAATATTAGAAGAAAATGGATTTAAGAAGTATTTTGCAAACCTTAATATTCTCTTCTAAAGCAAGAGATTAGTTTCAGGGCAAATGGACTAAGATAGAATAAAGTGAAAATGAGAACCATGCAGTTTATTTTCTTTCCCTCACACTTTAACACTCTTTTCTAATTATTTGACATATTTTAGCATGGTCTTATAAATATGATTTTTAATTGTTGTACAATATTCCATCAAGGAGATTACTTAATAATTACCCAGGGTACTTAGTTATGATCCAGTTATTTTAATCATTTATGTTGTTTCTAAATTTTCACCATTATAAATTAGAGTGAACAATCTGGAATAATATATTTTCCTTTGTTTTCTTTTTTTTTTTTTTTAAGATTTTATTTATTTATTTGAGACAGAGAGAATGACAGACAGAGAGCATGAGAGGGAGGAGGGTCAGAGGGAGAAGCAGACTCCCTGCCGAGCAGGGAGCCCGATGTGGGACTCGATCCCGGGACTCCAGGATCATGACCTGAGCCGAAGGCAGTCGCTTAACCAACTGAGCCACCCAGGCGCCCCTTTCCTTTGTTTTCTGAAGGTAGTTTCATAGCAATAAAAAATGTAAAAGTGGGGGCGCCTGGGTGGCTCAGTTGGTTAAGCGGCTGCCTTCGGCTCGGGTCATGATTCCAGGGTCCTGGGATCGAGCCCCACATCAGGCTTCCTGCTCAGCGGGGAGCCTGCTTCTCCCTCTCCCTCTGCCTGCCTCTCTGCGTACTTGTTCTCTCTCTCTATCTCTCTGTCAAATAAATAAATAAAATCTTTAAAAAAAAAAAAAGTAAAAGGGTATTCATGTTAGTATTCGTGTTTTTATGACTCTTAAAATGATTCTATTTGGTATGCTTGTTTTAAAAGGAACCCTACTAGGACTCAGTTTGAGAAACAAAATGTCTTCTATACTGTCATACATATTTTTAAAATGGGGGCACCTGTCATGCTTGATAACTACTTTATGCTGTGCATATGTTGCTAAACTTAGGTTTCTTCTCGTAGGGTTCTCCCCAAAGTAGCTTACATTTGTTGGGATAAAATAGATGAAAAAAAAAAAATCCACCCCTGCTCTGCGGGGAGCCTGCTTCTCCCTCTCCTTCTGCCTACTTGTGTTCTCTCTGTCAAATAAATAAATAAAAAAAAATCTTAAAAAAAAAAAAATCCACGATAACTAGGGATTATGACATGAAGACATAATTGTTTGTTTTTTATTTGTATGTACTTAACATAAATGCTTCTTCACTTCATGTTAATACTCTTAGGCTTTCATATTCTATTTCATAATATAGTTGTAAACGTCTTTTATAATTGTGTTAATTTATTATAACCCCTCAGAAGCGTATCTTTAGGCAACTGTACATAAACCAAACCAAAACATCTTTTTCTTTAAATTACAAAAGCAGTACATTTTCACTGTAAAAAACCTGGAAAATAAATACAAGTTATTGGGGAAAAAAAATTCAAAGAACATCTTTTTTGTCTGTCTTTGTGCTCTCTTGCCACTTCTGCAACTTCTGACCAGAAGGTAGAACTTGATAAGCCACACAAAGCACTAACCTTTGAACTACTGAAATATAAATAATAACAATAGAGCTGGGAAGTATTAAATAAATGATGTTTGGTAACTGACACATAACCAGGGTCTTGTCTACCCACCAGGAATACCTTAACTAATATGGCCTAAATCTCCCAAAATGTACTGTTTCATCAGTATTAGGAATGATTATCTAGAAATACTGTAAGCAACTGAATATTGAGTCTAACTGTATATGTAAATATTCGATCTACTATATATTGTAAGTCAGCTAACCCTATAATTTTTCAGCAGATTTGGGTGTGAATTTGTGTGGTCCAGAGGGCTCTGGAAAGACTAGATTTTGGAGTTAGGCAGCCCCAGGCTTAAGTCCTAACCCTCCCAGGGGTAGTCCTGGTATTCTATAGAATTCTATAACCTTCTAGCTCTATAGCTATCCTAGGCCAGAAAAACCTGTCATTATTTCTGCTGAGTTTTGCCGCATCGGTAAATTCTCTCCAGAGGGTGAATTCTGTGTCCTTTTAAAAAATGACTAGGAATGTATTTGTCACTGCCTCATGTTCTGGTTTTCCGCAGGTAAAGCAGCTGAGCAGCCATTTTCAGATTTATCCCTTCTCATTGAGGAAACCAAACTCGGATTGACTAGGAATGGAAGAAAAGAATAGTGGCCTGTAATCTACAGAAAAAAGTACTGTAAATAAGATGCTTGTAAATATTTCATCCATCACCATTGAACTAAACTGATCTGCTTAACAGACCTGGGAACTCAAGTGTGTATAGTACTTGGATAGTGGGAGTGATACAAATGATCTGAACTTATGGAATTTTGGACCTACTAACTCCCAACTTATTTTATTTTTTATAAAACCATGTGGCATTTTGGTTAAGCATAATGTACTTTAGACCAGCAAAATGTTTCTAGTGATTTTAGCTTCATGAGTCTATAATGTTTTGGTTCATACAGAGTTAAAGATGCTTTGTTTTTATTTTTAAAGTCCCCACATTGGTTTAGGAACACTGATAACATTAAGAAAACCACAAAATGTTTTCATATTTGGTACTACTTTAGTAGTAGGTCTTCAGCAGTGGAAGTTATCAATAGCCCAAATCTAATATAGGGAAAATATAAGAGCAAGTCACCTTTAGCAAGAGATGCCAAATGATTACAGAACTATAATGTACAATTGCCAAATACTGGTTTCTCTTTCCCATGGAAATGCCTTTTTTCCTCATGTGCTAAGAGAGCTAGTATATATATTTAGATTCTCTAGTATTCTGGCTCTCTTTGTTTGGGAGAGATCTTGATAAATGATTTAATTTTCTTTTAAAGAAAAATATTCGACTGAGACTTAGCAGAGAGTGGATCATAATTGTAGCTCACCCACTGACATGGTTCATTGTTTAAATATGGCATTTCCCCCCTTAGCTGCAAGTTGCTGAGATTTGGTGCCTGTGAACTATGATTATATGAATGCATGTGACAGTCGCAGTCTTACGATAATTACTTGTAGGGAACACAGGTAAACTTCCTTGTAAGAGAAATTTACTTTGGAGCTAGAAATCTCATGAGCCTCACTATGAATTCCTGCTATGAACCTCACTACAAAATTCGTTTTCTGATTCAGTTTGCCCTTCCTTCCTTCCCTCCTTCCCTCCCTCCTTTCTTTGTTTCTTTCTTCCTTCCGTCCGTCCGTCTATCCATCCGTCCATCCGTCTCTTTTTTATGGAGGAGAGAGTGCTGTGTTTTTTATTTCATACAAGATAAAGAAGTAGAAATTCTTTCTTCCCTAACTTGCCCACTTCCCCACCTGAAGAAAGTTTCTGATATATATGCCTTACTGAGTACCTACTCTCTTTAATATGACTTGGAATAATTTTTGAGGTTTACTGACAAACATAAAAATCCCTTTGACTTCAATGTGGTTGTTTTATAGATCACACCTTTTCATGAATGTGGATACTTTATCTTTTTGACTTTGTCTCCATTTAGTTTGGTGGTGGTGAAATTTACTTGCTGATTTTCTTTTATTTTCCACTGAATGAGGTTTGTGCTCGAATGAAGAGTGTATCTTAAACCCTTTTTTGTTTGGACGGATTGCACTTGGATAAAATAGGCACCACTGTGTTGATATGTAATTAAATTCTTAACCGTTATTTATCTATGAATGTGACCATCGTTAAATTTAATTATAGTGTATTCCTTTTTGAATTTCAGTCTCCTGCTTTGTAAAAATAACTATGTAATATTTCAGTTTTTAAATTTGTAAATCCTAATCATTGTTATCCAGGTTATTAGAAATGAGGAGTCAAGGAGCTAACTCATGGTTCTGTACTCATTTTTAAAAACGGTTCATAAAGATTGAGGTATATTCTGTGACTTTTTCTGAGACTGAACATGGTGAGAAATCGATGCTGGAAAATGTGGGTAGTGATTCTGTGTTTGTTAATAAGTTGCCATCATGGAGGTCAGAGAATGAACAAATTAAGGGTAACTCATTTTGTAGACCTTGTTCTTTGTCATCTGTAAAATTGAACTGGATCAAGTGGTAGTTTGGGCTGGGAACAAAGCTTTGTTTGTTCTAAGGTTTCTGAGCTAATCATTTTACCTTTTTGTTGATCTTGTACACAAGAATGAGATTAATCTGTATTATATAAGAAAAGAACTGAGAAATGTTTATAAAATGACAAATTTGAGCCACAGGCTTTCTTCACCTTATACAGTATAGTTAAAAAAAAAAAAAAAAACCCTTCTGGCATAGGGTCATGTTCTGTACTTTTGGGACTATTTTACATCAAAGTGTCTTTCTGTTCTTTTTCTGTTGCATCAAGTTTATTTGAAATTGTTTTATGCCTGTACTTCATGACCTATTTCCCTATGGGGTAAAGAATTATGCCATAGTTTTATTGACACCATTAGATGAAAGGTGGCTGTCAACAAGGTGAAAGTGAAACTGAGTGATGAACTGTTTCAGAATACTGTGGACTTGTGAATCTTCAGTGGACTGCTTTTTTTTTTTTGGTTTAGTCTGCCATCTTGAAATGCATCTTGAAAGCCTCCATTTGTCGTGTAGTGATATAGCAGCTGAAGCAGGACTTACTTGCAAATAGCTCTGTGCATTTGTGTCGTGCCAATTACCATAACATTTCCAAAGTATAAAAGATATTTCAGGCTTATGCATGATATTTTGGGGTGAGTCTACCACTCCAGCCTTTCTCCCAGCATACACTGAGCTGCCTTCAGGGGAGCAATGGCATGGTTGGTCATACATGCATGTTTTCTGTACATTTCAGAATGGAGTGCCTTAGCCAGGCCAGATGTTTGCTTTGTGTTTCTGCTGACCAAAGTTAACCTAGACCTGTGAGAAGTTTCTTGTCAGGTTATGGTATGAAAAATGTCCTTTCATGCTTGTCAGAAATTAATTCCCCTATATTTGAGGGGGGCATGGGATAGAAGAATCCTTAAAATACCTGGGTAGAGTATCTGCCTTTTCTGATCCTTTACTGACATTCATGATCTTTAGTGCATTACACAGTTTAAGATTGTCACAGTTGAGGGCGCCTGGGTGGCTCAGTTGTTAAGCAACTGCCTTCGGCTCGGGTCATGGTCCCAGGGTCCTGGGATCGAGCCCCGCATCGGGCTCCCTGCTCCGCGGGAAGCCTGCTTCTCCCTCTCCCACTCCCCCTGCTTGTGTTCCCTCTCTCGCTGTCAAATAAATAAAATCTTAAAAAAAAAAAAAAAAAGATTGTCATAGTTGACACTGCCATTGCTCCATTTATACATAAGAGATGTAGTTCATGAGTTTTAGTCTCAAGGGTAATAGAGTGAATAACTTCCAGATGAAAAACTAAATGGTCCTTGGCCTTTTAATAATATCATGCTTAAAATATTTTAAATTCTAATTTAAAAAAGTCTCCATGCTGATTGTGGTCTAGAATGTTCTACCAATATTTCATTTATTTTAATATAGAGGTATGGGGAAGAGGAGTATATGTCTAGAGTTGTCCAAATTCTAAATAGGTACCAAGAGAGCATTAATTATGACCTGGAGTCTGGGCTTTGGGGGAATATGGAAAAGAAAAAGCAGGCATAAGGTCCACCGAAGGGGAGAGGAAAGGGTCACCTTAATGCACAGGGCCTGTTGTGCCCAGTGGTCCTAGTGCAGTGCAGAGTTTAAAATTGTTGTTCCTTCAGTAACTTCAAATTCAAATGTGAATTTGAAAAGTTCCCAAGTGTTCAGTTTTCAAAGAATTTACTTTGTAATCAGTCAAAAAACATTTGGAATATAACTTGCTTTCCAAAGTAGACTTTGATTCTATAGCCTGTGGAAAATAAAAAGATAAACTGAAGGTGTTTGAGTCAAAGGGCCCTTTTCCCCTTTGTATTTTAACTAGAAGCCTGTGTGTAACTCCTCCTTTTCACTATTCACCCGGCCTCCCTTTTGACTTGCTACACCTGGGACAGAGGCGCCCACTTGCTTTATAGTGCCTGGGTCTGCCACATTCCAATCTCCTGGATTGCCTTAGATCTCTTGACGTGTCAAGGACTGGGACCGTGCCAGAGGGAACAGAGTAAACCCGATGGGCTAGAACTTTTGACTTTGGGTCCCCAGAAAGCCAAAAACAAATACAGAAATCTTTGGTTGTTGTGTTGATTCCTGTTTTCAGAGTGGCCTTTATCTTTTTTTTTTTAAAGATTTTATTTATTTTTTTGACAGAGAGAGACATAGCGAGAGCAGGAACACAAGCAGGGGGAGTGGGAGAGGGAGAAGCAGGCTTCCCGCCGAGCAGGGAGCCCGATGTGGGACTCGATCCCAGGACCCTGGGATCATGACCTGAGCCGAAGGCAGACGCTTAACGACTGAGCCACCCAGGCGCCCCAGAGTGGCCTTTATCTTGACCTCGGTTCTGGACTTGATTGAGTACTCTAGGAGATTTCTGGTCATATTAGGATTTTCTTTGTCCTGTGTGGTGTCCTTGTAAGAGCATGCCCTTTCTTGAACACCCTGTGGGTGAATAACCTTCCTAGTTAGCTGCCAGTACTGGAACCTTCCAGAAGGAATTTTAATTTGCTGCATTTGAAGCACTTTGACATGTACATTTTAAGTGACAGTTTTAACAGTAAAACGGTGTTAAACTAATCACTGTGAAACTTGAAAGTGTGATGCTCTGTACATTTTAGGAAGCTTAAGTAAATTTCTGGTTTTTCCTTTGTTAATTATGTAACCCAGGTGATTTGCATATTTTACTTTTCATCTTTGACAGTGGCACAGATGACTGACATTTTGGCAGGCAGTTACATTAGGGTATATGGTAAATCATGGTTGTGTAGCTTTTCCAGAGAAAGTGGCGACATGTTGACTTCTTCCTTGTGTGGAACCATGGGAGTGGGATTTATTGGCTAATTCACTGCAGTGTTTTTACAGTGCAAAATAAACGTCCACATGCTAGTAATACGCTTTGCTCTTTAATAAACAAATGTGCAAGAGATAGTAATCTAGCTGATTTTGGGGGGGGGGGTTGTTTTTAAGCAGGGACCCGCTCTTTAGTCAGATCTTAAATGAGCTAATATTTAGGGAAGCAAAAGATGTTCTGCCATCTGTAGCCCTCTCAACAGGTGGCCTGTATGAGGAAGTTGTGTTATATTTGGTCAGAAAGGCCAGGGTCCCAGAATTGGAAAATGGTACATGGACTGATTTTAGAATTTTTTTTTTTTAAAGATTTTATTTATTTATTTGAGAGAGAGAATGAGATAGAACATGAGAGTGGGGAGGGTCAGAGGGAGAAGCAGACTCCCTGCTGAGCAGGGAGCCAGATGCGGGACTCGATCCTGGGACTCCAGGATCATGACCTGAGCTGAAGGCAGTCGCTTAACCAACTGAGCCACCCAGGCGCCCCGATTTTAGAATATTTTAACAAGGGCTTATCTCTATAGGAAAGTCCATTTGGACGTAACAGAAGGATTGTCTGGTCTTCTACAGACCCATTCACATTGTTTTACTCTTCACAGAATCATTTTAGGAAAGGTAGGCTAAATCAGAGTGGTGCTGTTTTTAAAGCTTGTGAATTGGATCATGGCCGTATGGTACCTAATGCTACATGGAACTTAGAGACAGCATTCAAGATACCAGGAGTGGGGAAGCCTGGCTTGCTCAGTCCGTAGAGTATGCAACTCTTGTTCTCAGGGTTGTGTGTTCAAGCCCCATGTTCGGTGTCAAGATTACTTAAAAAAATAAAATCTTAAAAAAAGAAAAAAAACCCCGAAAAACCAGGAATGGCTAAATGCTGGGGATGCCTTATGGTTCTTTGGCTAAAGTCTTCTCTTGAGCAGTTTCTATGGGTAATAATTAAGATTAGAATTGATTTTGTTTTTTTATTAAAACATACACAATTTGCCATGAGTTCTAGATTCTGATATTCTTGACAAGCACTTTTTATCTCCAAAGAGTAAGTTATTGACCTTACTTGGGACCTGCTTAGTATTTGATGTTATTAACCCGTTATGGGGGGAATTTTCATTTTGCAAGACCTGTGAATGTTGCATTTTAAATCTGTTTGAATTACTGGTATCATTTAGCATCAAACTCTAACAGCTGCTAATTAAAACTACCCACAATATTAACATTGTAAGTTATTTTGTTTAGCTAACTTACCCTATTAGCTTTCAAGAGACAAAGTCCCAGCGACATGTAATGACTTGCTTGTTCCAAAATGTGCCAAGAGAGCAGACTTCAGTATTAAACTCCAAATTTCAACTGTTTTTAAAAAAGTAGCATTTCCTCTGGGTAATGGGGAGGCAGTGAATTACTGCCCAGGTGCAAACTCCGTACCACCTACCTGTCCCCTTTCCCTCCCATCCAACATAGAATAGGTTAAATTTGCAGCCAACTGTAGGAAAAGAAGTTGGTACTTTTCTGAGTAAGGCTTCATGTCCTGTGACTAGGAAGAGGTGGCAGGAATCATGGCCTAATCAATTATTGAGTTGTGTCGCGTGGGCCATTGCAGTTTGCTTTCTGTAGTATTCTGAAACAAAAGGATGACTCCCTCCCTTCTCAGGTACTGAGAAACAGCTCCATGTAAGCAGCCAGAATGTGTTTGCGACAAGTAGGATATATTAGAGTGGAAGATAAAGGGTAGCACAAAATCTTTCATTTTCTCTTTCAGGTAGTTTAATTGAGCATATTCATAATTGGTCTTTCTAGAACTTGCTGTGTTCATAGTAAATAACGTAGCATTTATTTTATCTGGTTATGTGTGGTGTGCGTGTATATACGTATTCAATATGTGCACATATTTCTGCATTATATGTACGATACATTCATTTATATGTACATACTCTCTTGATTATCTGTAAAATGGTAAGCCCTCATTAGATTGTTCTCTTCTTGTTGACTTAGGCAGCATGGAGCCCATAACTCTGTGAAGCCTCTTCCTTATCTGGAACCACAGTCTTTCCTATTTGCAGTTCATCTCCATCCCCAAGGAAGGCCCTTGAAATATGTCGCTTTCTGTTTCCCTTTCACCAGGGATTGTGAGTGAGAAAGATAGCTGCTTCCACCGGGTTTGAGGCTTCTGGCTCTGAATGATGATGCGGCCCTTTCCTGGCCCGAAGGCAGCTTCGGAACAGTTGTGCTGAAGGGCTCAATGGGGGAAAAAAACCTAGCCCTTGCAGAAATGGGGCTTCATAACTTGCTTAAATTCCTTAGCTGCAGTGTTGTGAAGTCTTAGATAATTTGATGCACAAATAGATTACAACTATGCATTACACTGTTACTTTTGCATCATTGGTAGTACTGTTCCCTGTTGGTAGCCCAGATAATCAAGACCTGACTGTTTCTTGCCACTGGATTCTGGAAGCCTTGCCCTTTCAACTGGATTTATGTTTATTTCTGCTGCTGTGAATCCCAAAAGTAATGCAGTAGGTTTTAATTTAAAATTGTTTAATTCTATTATTGATAAATATTTATTGTAATAAAAGTAAAAAGTAAATAATTTTTAAATCCTTTTAACTGTTTTCAGATTGTCTTCTTTGTTTTTCCTTGGAAGGTACAAGAGGGGAGGGAGCTAGGAGGAGAAAAATAATGTCCAGCCACTTGTCTCAGAGTTACTATTTTAGAGCAAAACATTAAATGGTTTTTCGTTTTGTTTGTTTAAAGAACGATCAGCCCAGGGGCGCCTGGGTGGCTCAGTTAAGCGTCTGCCTTTGGCTAAGATCGTGATCCCAGGGTCCTGGGATGGAGCCCCCAGTGGGGCTCCCTGCTCTGCGGGAAGCCTGCTTCTCCCTCTGCCCCTCCCCCCACTCATTTTCTCTCTTTCTCTCCGTCTCTCAAATAAATAAAATCTTTTTTTTTTTTTAAGATTTTATTTATTTATTTGAGAGAGAGAGAATGAGAGAGAGCAAGCACGTGAGAGGGGGGAGGGTCAGAGGGAGAAGCAGACTCTCTGCCGAGCAGGGAGCCCGATGCGGGACTCGATCCAGGGACTCCAGGATCATGACCTGAGCCGAAGGCAGTCGCTTAACCAACTGAGCCACCCAGGCGCCCTCAGATAAATAAAATCTTAAAAAAAAAAAAAAAAAAGAACGATCAGCCTGCTTGCTCCTGGGTGCTCTGTAATCCTGTGCCTTGTTTCAGAAAGCAGAGTACCTGGTGGCAGTTAACAGCTGTTCATGATGTCCTGTTCTTGGTTTCCCCAGAACTGGGTACTGGGCAGTGTATAATGATAACTGGGTCAACTTAAATTAGTTTGTAAAGTGGTTGTCTCATACTTAAAAACATTTTCCTATCGAAAGAATGTTAATTTTCCAGGCTAATTCCACAAGAACCGAATGGCCACACTTGGTACACTTAAACAATAAGCTTTATTGAAAAACCTCATATTTTCGGGCACCTGGGTGGCTCGGTTGGTTAGGCGACTGCCTTCTGCTCAGGTCATGATCCTGGAGTCCTGGGATCGAGCCCCGCATCGGGCTCCCTCCTCAGCCAGGGGTCTGCTTCTCCTGCCCCTCTCCCCCCATGCGCGCACGCTCTCTCTCTCAAATAAATAAATAAAATCTTAAAAAAAAAAAAAAAGAAAAACCGCATATTTTCTAACATTGCTTCTGAGACTATTTCCTGTCTTTTACATCAGAATTGATCTCTGGCAGCAGGCATTTAAATTTTTTTTCTGTAATAGGTTTGAAGAAGGTGAGGAGAAAATGTCCATATTGTAACCCAGGCTAGTTCTCCAGCAGTGTGCTCATAATCCCCTGTCCCTCCCAGCCTCTTGGTTGCCCTAGCAGTTATCCCTGCCCTTCTCTCTGCAGACCTCCCAACACCGAGAGAGTGCCTGACGGCATAGCAGGTGCGTCCTCGGTAAGCAGCTTGGGTCGGTCCAAATGGAGACGCTGTGCCTCCAAAATGTCCTGCTTTTCTTCCTGCTCTCGTCTTTTCTCCTTGCTCATGAGTTTCCTGAAAGAAAAATTGATGTCTGCTCCTTCCATTTTTTCTTTTTGCTTTTATTCTGAAAGTTTCTCAACACCTCCCAAGCTTTTAATGCCATGACTGTTTCTTAGTCATGTTCAGCCTGGCAGGCTTCGACCTGGGGCAAGTTACTTATTTTTTTCTGAGCCTCAGTTTCTTCACCTGTAAAACGGGATCAGTAATATTACCGCAGTCATGTGTATGTGCTATGAATGATGCAAGGAGGTATTTGGCACAGTGTGTGGTCTAAGGTAGGTCCTCGGTTTCTGCTAATAACTTTGAACCCTTCCCTAAGCCTTATGACCTACTCTTGAAACTTCCCTTCTTCCTTCCCTTTCCTGTTCTGTCCTTTGTACCTTTGGTAGTCAATACATGAAGATGATGGGTGAGGCAGTTCTAAAAATAACTTGAAATGAGTAAAAGAAGATTGCCTTCTGAGAATCTATTAGTAAAATTCACACAAATTTGGGAGACAGGAATAAGCCAAGAAATTACGTAAATGTTTGAATTCCCAAACCCCAATTAAGATGATTTGGTGTAATCTTACGGATGTGGAATTAAGTATGTGACTTGACTTCATATACTAAAATCTAGTCAGTGTATCATTTTTCTGGAAAAAGGCTATATACTGAAGGTAGATGGCGAGCCTGTAGCATAGCAAAGAAAGCCCATACATCCAGAAGGGTTTGCATTTATCATCCCAAACTTACCCAGGGATGGGATGGAAGGACTATCGAGTCTTTGTGGCAAGTTATACCCATTGTGGGCCCCTCAGTTCATTGCAGTCAATCGTACAACATCAAGAAACTTGCCAATTATAGTTTGATTTCCTTTGTAGATTATCCACAGACATGTGCTGGTCACAGGTCATAAATACACATGCTTGTGTGTCAGTTGTAGTTTCTTGCTCAAATTAGGGTATCCTCTTTTTCTTTTGTGAGCTTATTAGTGTAAGTCAATTCTCCAAAGCAGCTCTACTTTTTGGAGTATTGCCTACCAGTGAGGACCAGACTCTGTTTGTGAATTATCAAGATGGACCTACACCTACAACCCACCCCCAAATCCCTCTCACCTGTGACATTTGCCTGCTGCAGTCTCTTCAGGAACTCCTGTCACCACTCTTTAAAAAAAAAATAAACTTTATTTTTTTATTACATCCAAAGTGATTTGTATTATTTGTAAAGTTTTTTTTAAACTAGAAAATAAAAACCACCCATAGACCCACACCCAGAGATACCAACTACTTTGTGTTTTTTTTCCCCCAAATCGAAAGCTTTACTAAAACAATAAATTTGGGAAATAATGGATATTAATTTAATTTCTACAGTTTAATTCTTTTCCCCGAGTTTTTATTTGAAGTCCAGTTAGTTGACATGCAGTGTACAATATAAGTGATTCAACACTTGATTACAACACCCCATGCTCATCACAAGTGCCCTTCTTAATCCCCATCACCTATTTCATCCATCACTCCACTGACCTCCCCTCTGATGACTATCAGTTTGTTCTCTATAGTTAAGAGTCTGTTTCTTGGTTTACCTCTCTCTCTTCCCCCTTTGCTTGCTTGTTTTGTTTCTTAAATTCCACATTCCAATGAAATCATACGGTATTTGTCTTTCTGACATAATACTTGAGCTCCATCCATGTCGCTGCAAATGGCAAGATTTCATGCTTTTTTATGGCTGTGTAATATTCCACTGTGTGTGTGTGTGTGTGTACACACACACCACATCTTTATCCATTCATCAGTAGATGGGACAGACACTTGGGCTGTTTCCATAATCTGGCTATTTGTAGATAGTTCTGCTGTAAACATCGGGGTGTATGTATCCCTTTGGTTTTTTATTTTTTATTTAAATTCCAGTCAGTTAACATACAGTGTACTATTAGTTTCAGGTGTAAAAATATAGTGTACTTGCATACAACACGTAGGATACAAAATCAATGTACAGAAATCTTGCATTTCTTTTTCTTTTTTTTTTTTTTAGAGAGGGAGAGTGAGAGAGAGTCTTAAGCAGGTTCCATGTCCAGCTCAGAGCCCCACATGGGGCTTGATCTCACAACCCTGAGATCATGACCTGAGCCAAAATCAAGAGTCAGATGTTTAACTGATTGAGCCACCCAGGCGCCCCAGAAATCTATTGCATTTCTATACACCAATAATGAAGCAGCAGAAAGGACTCAATCCCATTTACACTTGACCAAAAACAGATACCTAGGAATAAACCAAACCAAAGATGTAAAAGATCTGTACTCTGAAAACTATAAAACACTGATGAAAGAAATAGAA